GTTGATGCACAGGATCTCTAACACTGTATGTTAAAAAGATGCTTATTATAAAAAGTAGAACAGAAGGTTTTGACCTTTAATGTGACTCACTCAGTTATGACTACAGTGCATAAAGATAACAGCAGTTGGAATAAAGATTTGCATTCTATACAAATATGCTGATCCTGGAGATACACCAGATGGATGCTTTTCCAAGGCACAGGCATCTGCAAGGCGTATTCCTGAAGAGCAACTCTCATTCTACCCCTATTCAGAAATCATCACTCAAGAACATCATTAATTTTTCAATCCCATTTTGATTTCAGTGAGATTTTGACGTGTTTTTTTCATGATTACATGTTTATCTGCATTAGGACCAGCATGCTCTCTCCATCCCCAGAGAATTCTAGTGCTTTAATTAGCTAGAGGGCTTTTCAAAACTTTTGTGATGTAGCATGTATCACGTTAAAGCTGATTTTTGCATGAGTGAGCACAGATGCAAGGAACTTCTCCTCCCTTCCTGTGTGCTCTGAGGGAAGGCCTTAGACAATAATAAATCCCTGCACTCAGCCATGTAGAAAGTAGAGAAAGACGCTGTTTTATGGTCCCAGAAGAGCTTCCACCAGCAGAAGCAAAATTAGTGTTAGGAAGACTTCAGCAGAATGGGAGGAAAATGGAAAATAAGCAGTGAGAGAGCACTTGGTGTGTGTTCCTCCTGTGAGTGCAGCACACTGTGAGACCCCACTGTGGCTCCCCATGAGGAGCTCAGAGCAGTGGCTAAATGCTCCATTCAGCCTTGCTCATTGCTGTGCCCAGCCTGACTTAAGTTACCCTTTCTAAGCCTCTCTGAGCTTACAGGGATAATGAGTGAGAGCTGGAGGCTAAAGCAGATGGTAACAGAGCCTTTTCTCTCCCAAACTCGCCTGTGGTGCTGCTCTGCAGTGGGAAAGAAATGAAAGTTACCCAGGGGGAAGAGCCAGACTGGTTCTTGCTGAGTTGCAACTCACTTCATTCGAAACTGTTGTCAAAGGTTGCTTTTTCCCAGTCTTTCCCACTCAAAATCACATTATTTTTTTATGACAGATTTTCATGTACTTGGCTTAAAAAGCACAGGAGGAAAATTTTCCAGGTTCCCTGTGGAGCCTCCTGCAGTTTTCCTGTTCTACCGAGGCCTTGGTAACATTGGTATCAACTCACTGTTGATAGTACTGGTAATGAGCTGCTGGCATTTTATCACTGTGCATGTAGTGGCTGTAGTATTTAACATTTCATCTGAAGATGTGTTTGCAGACCCTCTAAATACACTGGTGTTGTATGTAGCCAAAACTGGCTCAAGACACTGAGTAAATAGCTAGATAGCGTGTGTATAAAAAGCACGTTTTGACAACTTTGTTCAAATGTTTTTGCATGTCTGTTTAGAAAGGTTTTTATTGATCATCCCAAAGCACACAGCAGAGTTTTTGCTCAACTGAAACTTCTGAAAAAATGATTCTGACAAATGAAAAGTATTTTTTCTAGCATACTGAGCTTTGCCATGAGAAAATGCCATTCCAAAGTCAGGATATTAAGTATAAAATATGGAAGCTGTGTTCTGCCCAAGACGTGTAACTGCTGTAAGTTTTTTGGCAAACCTCCTCATTCTCTGGGGCTGATGCCTTGAAAATGGGAAATAATGATTTCCATTCTTTTTTAAAAATTGTTGTGACATCTACAGATGCAAATTGTTACAGAAGTTGTAAGGGATAGCACTATATTTTGTGTATGAGGCCAGCGGGCAGGAACTCCTTGGAATTTTTTTTGAAGTCAGTGCTTGCAAGTAGCAAGGGAGTGGGTGACTGGACTTGGAGAAGCTGAACATTTGAGGCTTCACAAACATTTCAGCAGGCAACAGGCCAGCAACTTACGAGCACAACCTCCCTTCCTTCATGTCAGCTTTTCCGCTGGTGACTTGAGTAGTTTACTTTAAGTTGATATTTACTTTTAAATATTATGATTAAGTGACAATAATTTACCAAGATTAAAATGAAACTGATAAGAATGGAGCCAAGTATACATCATAACACTTTCTAAAAGAAACACGCTTTTCAAGGAGCCTCAACTCTGTTATGCTGAGAAGATATGCTGGGACTGTTGGACCTGTCACACAGTGTTTGAGGGTGAGTCCTATGTGAAGTTCATTATTTGATCTGGACAATGCTCACAAAGATCAGAAAAAAAGGAAGAAAGATTTTATTCTAGTAGCTAACCTTGTCCTCTTTAAACACACAGGCTTTGCTGGGGCCAGATTCTTCAACTCAGATGGAGAACTAATTTCCCCACTAATTTCTCTTCTCAGCATACATATACAGGATTTTTTGCTACAAAAAGAGAACTGAAGATGTCACCTGATAATTATCTGTGACTATGAGGTCCACTGTCCTTACAGGAAATTCTGTTGTCTGCTGGGGTTTTGAGGTTTGAAAGTTGGATGGCAGAGTTGCTGATTCTGATAATAACTCTGATCTTCTCTTGTGGCTGTGAGGCTGCCTGAGTACTCTTATTTCTGGTGTAGTGGATGTGCTCAGTAACAGCTGGTGTTTCCAAGAGTTACTATTTTATTGATTTGGTTTTGAGGATTGCTTACTCCATCTATATGGCTGGGAATTTGTTACAGGATTCAATGTTATGATCCCCACTGCAGCTATGATTTTCTCCCACATATGTACTTTCTCTGACCGTATAATGACTCTTCAGCTTTAACAGAGTTTTATCAGGTAAGTCCAAGGTTGTGCAAGGAATGTTGGGAATTGGTAGATTTTAGTGGACCAAAGTCCCATATTCTTTGCAGCAGTGTTTAATTCGGCAGCAAAGCTCTGAGCATGATACAGATGTTCAACTCCGTGCCTGTGTGGCTTGCAGGTTGTTCAAGGGTGGTTCCCGTGCTGAAGCTGTGCCATATGACTGGTGAGGAGGCTGTTGGTACCTGGCCAAGTGAAGCACAACCAGGAGGGGCTTCTGAGGCTGGTGTTTGCTGGAACTTGGATTCATTATCAATGGACCCAAATGACTTCTGGATCTGACAGCTGGGAATAAGAGACTACTGTTACCTCCTGCTTGTATAACACCCAGGATCACCTGCACCCTTCAGCTCCCTGTGGTATGTGCTGTGTACAGATGTTTGGGTATTAGCTTTTGCAGCTGTGGAAGTTGGCCTTTTGGCACGTGCATTCTGCCTCTGTTCATATAATTTCAAAAGCAGCTTCATCATAAAACACTGAAGGCTTTAAAGACGAAGAGAAAAAAATGAAGTATAGGAGAGAAACCGTGATGTGATTGAGACATATTCTGCTATTCTCATCCTTTTACTATCATGGCTCCTGTAAGATGTTGTACTGTGAATTTGTAACTGAGTCACATGTTATGAAGAGAGAAACTTTTCCCAGGTTTGGCATCTAGAAAAATATGAAGAGTCTTTAGCAAGATGGCATGAAATTGTGAACAATGATGAAATTGTAATGATCATCTTTTTGTTTTGCATTTAAAATGATCCACACCTTTTGCAGGTATTGGGTTTTCAGGGTTTTTCCTTTTTGTGGTAGTGTATTTTGAATACCTTCTTCACTTCTGTCTTGATAAGTTCATACTTATTTGAATCCCTTTGGTGCTTTTGACTTGTTAGTTTGTTTTTGGGAAGAGTTTCTGAAACTGCTCCTACGATACAGCTGGACACAATTGACATTTCTCTTCACAGGTAGCTAGGTAGTAAAGCTGGTGGTGCTTGGTGAAGAACCTGTTGCTGCCTCATTCCAAGTATCATTTTGTTTCAGTAGTTTCTGCATGTGTAGGGTGAAAGAATTAACAAAAACCACACTTTGGCTATTATTCAACCACTTTCAATGCTGACTGAAATTATGGAAAACTTTTTTTTCCTCTCAGTAAAGTGAGTTAGCTTGTTGAAAGACATGTTCTTTTCACTCCCTTGTGCCAGCCACCGGTGGTGGAAGGAGGGGAGATGAAGAGCTATCTCCATGAGATTTAACTTCAGCTTTTGGGAACTAGCATTTGGAGTATGGGAACGGCTCCTGTAACATGGAGTGGTCCTTGCAGAAAGCCAAGAGCTTCCCCTGCACGGGGAAACTTGTTCCTTGCAAATGCTGTACCATCCCTAGCTTTGGTTTCTAGGCATTCGTTTTGGTGTCTTCTGAACTGGCATGACTTGTTCCCTGTGATGACCCTGTTATCCTGCCTGTGGATGTAGGAATTTACCCCAGCTTTACCAAATTGGTCTAGGGCAAGAGTGATACCTCAAGTTTAATGACTGTACCAGGGCTTGACCTCCAGGCAGCATGGCCTGTCCTATCACTACTCTTCTGAATCCCAACCTGGGAAATACTTTTAGCGTTCCCGCTCGTAAGCTGAGGTGGCTGTGATACAACTGCAGTGGATCACCTTGAGAGTCAGTTTTAACTCGTCAACATAACTGCAAAGACAGTGAAGTTTGAGAGCCTTTTCCTAAGCTCCAGGTACTGCTCAATCCTCCTGCTCAGAACATCAACTCTAAGAGCTGGACAGCCCGACCTGGCAGGAGGGGCAGGCTTGGCAAGTGGTCCCAGTTCTGCATATGGTACAGGACACCTTCCAGGTTTATCTCCTGCAGTTCCTACAGTCAAAGGATAAGTGTCAGGTAGCGGTGTCTGCGTCTAACCCAGAGCCTGTGCAAAAGGGGGCGGCTGAGGGGCAGTGGCTGCAAAGGGCTCGCCCCGACACCAGCCCCAGGGGCGGGGGAGGTGGAGGAACGGGGCGAGGAGTCCCAGCCCGGCTTCGCCGCTCAGGGAGGGCACGGGAGGGCAGGAGAAGGTACGGGAGGGCAGGGCCGGTCCCCGGCGCGCTGAGGGGCCCCCGCGCCCTCGGCCGCCCGCGCCTGTGGGTGGCCGCGGGGTCACGAGGCGCCGCGCCCCTTCCCGGTGACGGCAGAAGCAGAAGTGGAGCCCCGGGAGGCGCCGCGGGAACCAGCGGACCAGCGGCGGCACCGGCAGCGGCAGCCGCCGGCACGGCCCGCCGCCGCACGGAGCTGCCGCCGCGCAGGTGAGCGCGGCCCCGGGGGATGCCGCAGGAGGGCGCTCCCCGCCGCGCTGAGCCGCGGCCGCGGCCCCGACGGCTGCAGGTGCCGCGGGCTGGGGCGGGGCGGCGAGCCCGGGCGTGAGGGAGGGTCTGGCGGGGACAGGCGGGGGCTGCGGGCGAGTGCGGGCCTCGGGAGAGCGACGGGCAGCCCGCGAGGGGTGAGGGGGACGTGCCGCGGGGAGAAGGGACAGGGAGGGTCGTCCCGCGGGCGGAGGGTGCCTGGGCTGGAGGGACGGGGCAGTGCGGGCGCTCCCCGAGGGGGCTCGGAGGGGACACTGCCTGGCGCCTCGCGTGTGGCCGCTCTCCGCCGCAGCCCAGCCTGGGGAAGAAGAAGGAAGGAAACCTTCAGTGTGGCGTGTCCCTGACAGCAGCCCAGCCATGCACAGCCCTGCCGGGGCGAGGGCCCAGCCGGGCCGGGGCAGGTGGGCACCGTCTTGCTGCGGTTCCCCTCCCCTGCTCATCGCCAGACCGCAGGACTCCCAGGGCGGCAGCTGCATCGCAAGAGCAGCACACTGACTATTATTAATTATCAGTGCTATGGGGCTGCGCTGGTGTTGCTGGTGGATATCCATACTGGTAGTGTTGCCTGCTCGGGTTAGGAGGTGTCCTAAACGCGTCCAAAGGCAGAGCTCGGATGCAACAACCCTTTTACAGTGCCCAGAGCACATGGGGAAACTTAGGAATTGACCTGTGGTCAAACTTTGTATGACCTTGTGTGCCTAGAAAGCACCTGCTTTGTCATACTGGTGAAATTACAACAGAGTATGGATTCATTAGTGCTTATCTGAGATGTTCTTTGCTAGCTTGTACAATTATAGTTTGCCTTTACTACAGTTATTCCTCACTTTCTGTTATTGCAAAGAAAGTTAGGAGCTGTAGACTGATCTTCAGATAAGAAGGGTTTATTTCTGAAAGTCTGAAGTACTGTAATGAAAAACTAAATATACAGGTTTTTGGATAGATTAAGTAGTTTGTTTTTTTCATGTCCATGTTCACTTGGTTACTTGCAGTGAGTCTTTTAGACTTTTCAGTCCAAATCAGTCAGGCTTTTCAACTAAAAAGTGTCAAAACAGCTCTTACACAAACAATAACAAGTGGTCCCAGTTCTGCATATGGTACAGGACACCTTCAAAATTTAACTCCTGTAGTTCCTGCAGTCAAAGGGAAAGAGTCATGGATTGGTGTCTGTGTCTAGAGCTTATGGCATGCTTCTGTGATTATTAACTCACTTGTTGAATCCTGTAAGTGGTGCTGGACCTTTCTACTTTAGGCTTCAGTAACTTTGCAGTAGAAGAGCAGTAAAGCTTCTATTGCATACAGCATCTTGTAGTTCACACTCTGCTGGGCTAGAGGCATCCAGGTGATGAGGGTCATTATGAAATTCTGCTGCATGAATGGGTAGAAATATTGTTAATTCAAATAGTTGTGCAGTCATGGGTGTAGGGAGGTGAGGGGCACCTGTTGGTAAGACATGTTTTAAAGGTTAGGTCTAAAGCCAAGGGCTTATGTTAGTTCCTTTACTCTTAGGCAGCATTCTATGATGTTATTCTTAAACTGGAGCAGGTAACCAGAACAGTCTAGAAGTGGTCATTTAGGTTGGTCAAATATTGCAATATTCCTTCCATCTTTTCTGACAAAGTGGGTATCCTCAGCTACAATATTGTTTCACAGTAAGTTAAAAACTTGGCCTATGACTTAGGATCCAAGTTAGACTAAAACCACCGTTCTCTCTGGTTTTGGAAGAAAGAGCTACTTTAAAAGAGGAAGTCCAGTATATTCTATTCAGCGGAAACTGTTTAAGAAGCCACTTCGGAAAGGCAGTTCCTTTGTACTGAAGGACTTATCTCTCAAAAAACCTGCTGCATTGCCTTTTATTAAATAGCTGTACTTAGAAACTCCTTTTCTTATTGTTCTAAGTCATGTTTCATTTTACAGCTACACCTTGTAGTGTAAAAGGCAGAGCTGATGTATATTTCTCTACAGTCTCCTAAAAAACTGTGCTAATTTAAAAGTTCAGGTATTTGGTATTACAGTGAAGTGTTACTAAAATGGTTAAACCTTGTTCCAAATCGCAGCATATTCGTTTTATTACAATTCTTAATGAAAAGAGCAAAGAAGATGGGGTTTCTTTTATTTGTTGGAAAAACAGACACTGTACAAAGATTTTAATTTATTTTTTTTGTTTTCCCCTCCTTTCAATTCTTGTTAATACCAGTCATTGCAGCAAGACAAGATGACTACGGTTGTCTTGTTATGTGCAAACCTGTGATAGTTCAGATGATTCTCTGATTAGTTCCATGGAGTCTGAAAGGATCAGTTACATTATGGCTAAACCATAAAAATCTGCTGTTGCTTACGATACTTAAATTGTTCACTCCCTCTGAGTTGTTGCACTGGAGTATATATATATTTTCAGTATTATAAGGAAAGAATACTCCATTTTTTTATTACCATAACAACGTTGCTGGTATAAAACCCCACATAATGTGTATAATGTTTTGCAGAACGTGGTGTGAGATGATTCCTGCTGTGGAGCACTTCAGATTCACGAGGGGCAGTGCAGAAGAGGCCGCCCTGCAGCTATAAAGGGACTGTTGTGGCTTCTCTCTTAGTTTACAAAAAAAAAATAAAAATAATTTTTTTTTTTTGAAGTGGTCGAATTTAAAAAGGGATTGGAAAGATTGCCCAGACAACTTCGAAGTCAGGTTGCACTGGAAGCAGCTGGTGACGCGATGTTGAAAGGCAGATTAGTGGCTTTAATGAGAGGGAGCAGAAAAGGGCGCTCGGTAGCGAGGGACAGGTCAGGAGACAGTGCACGGGGTGAGGGGGAGGAGGGCTGGAAGAAGTTACGAAAGGGAAGCGAGAAGTGCCATGGTCGAATTAGCCATCAACGCGGAAACTGAAACTGCCTGTGAGGGAGAGGAGTGGACTGAGGAGAGGGGGAGAGAACCGCGGGAGATGCTGTGCCTGGTGGCTGCATGTGCACAGAGCTCTTTAAACCTGCCCTGCTCAAGGATGAGCTTAAGGAGGATGGCTGGGAACTGTGTGGCAGCAGCCCCTGCAAATTGTGTGCAAATGATATTCATGGATGAAAGAGCAGGTTCCAGAGCACCCTGTTTGTAAGTAATCTCACCGAGGAGTAATCAGGCTTGTAATTAGCTGTTTGAGGCAATGAGGTGAGGGAGACCAGAGCACAGAAGCTTGGTAATATTTGCAAGATCTGCTGTGTACACATCTGTCTTTTGGCTGTTTGGTGTCCCAAGTGTGTGCACACAAATATCACATGGGTAAGAAAAAGAAGACTGTGCAGGAGAAACTCAGCCATGAAGTTTTAGAAGTGCATAAACTGAGACTTTTCAGATGTAGCCAACATTTGTTTCAGTGTTGGTATTTACTCATGTTTTCTCCTCACTACAGTTCCCAAAAGGACAGTTACCTGGTTTAAATTCTCATATAGCTCTCATACAGGTTTAAAATCTAATATAGTGCAAGAGTTTATGCCAGCTGATATAATTATTTCTTGTGCTATCTCGTCATTGGATTGCCAGGCTTCAATCATCCTCGCTCTTCCTGATGTAATATCAAGAAGACAGTAACACTGACAGCAGAACCTGTGAGGCTTCTCAGATTTTAGAGGTCTCTTCAGGCAGCAAACTGATGCAAGAAGAGCAAACCTACTGCAGTTCACCTGGGGGCAGCATTTTGGTTATTGGAAGAAAGCATTGGGAATATAAAAAAAAGTAATCCTGGAAAAGTAGAAAGAGTATGATTCAAATCTGTTGCATATATCTCCTTTTCTCATGTTAATATCTAGGTTGTCAGTACGTAGGACAAGATGGATTTCCACATATTTCTTGGAGTAGTATAAGTTTCAAGAATGAGAAGTTTTAAATTCCACCTTACATAGAACTAATGAGGTTTTTATGGAACATAATTCTACAAATGCCCTAAAACAATAAGGAAATTCCTGTAGAAATGGTGATTTCTTTTAAGTTTCTTTTGTCTCTGTATCAATTAGAGAGTCTGTGAACAAAGGTGTCCCGTTGTATAGAACAAATAAAACAGATCTGATGCTTGGAAGGAGTTTGGTAGAATCAAAGTAGGATCAAAGTGCACATTTTTTGATGTCTTCAGAGACTCCCAAAGTCATCAAATCAAGGTAAATATAGTCAGGGTTGGAACTTTGTTTAAGGAAGTATCTCTTTGGACCTACCAGTGACACTTGCCATTTTGTGGGGAAAACCCAATATTGCTACTTGGAGGCTTCAGAGGTGCATTCTTGCTGCTTAGTGCTTTGAGGGGGTAAAAGTGCATTTGGACAGAATATGTGGTGTGTAATGCTTACATTTTATATTTGATGTGCATCTATAATTTGTAAGTGATACACGGAAACCCTGCTAGGTACTACGAAAAAGGATTCTATTCATGCTTGCACTAGGTACTGTTTTTGCTTGTCTAATCAGAAGTTACTTGTATAACCATCCCAGAAAGTAATCCTTCCTTGGCCACCAGTCATACTGTCAAAAAAGTTGGAGGTTTGGTAAGTGAAATAAACTGCCATAGGAATTTGTGCAGCATAATTGTATTTACATTATTTTTTAGGTAGGAGAAGGTCTAGGAAATGTGGCAGAAAATGTTACAGAGAAACCAAATGTTGCTCCTTTAAGAGAGGTTCTTAGCACAGTTCTGCTCGAGTTTGAACACTTTTTTTTTTCATGTTTCTGATGTGTTCTTTAGTTTTATTTAGGTTTTATTTGTTATGATCCAGGTACTGTTTTTTTTTTCTTTTCAGTAGTTTGTGTTCACTGTGTTTTGTTTTTTGTTCCTTTGTCTGTAATACTTATTCTTAAATTTGGTGTTTCCTGCAAATTGGTATTTCTTTCCTTTTCTTTGTTTGTTTGTTTGATTTGGTTAGGGGATTTTTGTTGTTGTTTTTGTTTTTCTGCTTTTTTCCTGTCCTAATGTGGAGACTTTAGAGATGTAAGTCTGTGTTAGGAGTGAGGGTTTGTACTTGCTTTCAGGAGAGAACAGCAAGGATGCTGTCAATATTGGCCATGTACCTGCCTTGCATTTGCATGGGCAAGAGTCTCCATTGGGTATCTAACTTACACAAATGTTATTTTTAAAGAAATGAAAATGTTGTTTTAAATATTGAATTTTCTCCCTTTTTTTTTTTTTCTTTTCAGGACACTGAAAACCATAAAAGTTTGATTAAAAAGAAAAAATGCCCAGAAAGAGTATAAACTATGGAGTGCTGCCGGAGTATGAGAAAAGCCAGATCAAAAGGACTTTGGAGCTGGGAACTGTTATGACAATATTCAGTCTTAAAAAGAGTAGCCCAGAAAGAAGGACTATTCAAGTCATAATGGAAACCAGGCAGGTTGCATGGAGCAAGACAGCTGACAAGATTGAAGGTGTCTGTGAGTATTTGCAAAGTGTACCTGAACTTGGAGTTAATAGTGAATGGATGTACTTGTCAAATATTAATTTAATGAGCCTGTGGTAACATGATGAAGCTTCTGGCTGAAAAGAGTTTGGTAATTTGCTGAGAGTATTCTGAATTGTTGCAAAGTAGACGAAGAATTTTCTCAGTAGTGTATTAAAATGAATGCCAGCACCATGTGCTTCCTTAGGGAGGCCTGCAGAGAGCTATGCAAATAGCTGAAGGAAGCAGCTCTGAGCTAGATGTGCCTGTGCTCACCCATGCTTGGGCTTCTTTTAGTCATCTCGCTCTTGTTCTCTGCATGGAGACATTTTAGATGCCCTTGTAGCTCTTAAGGTCACTGAGGGAAATCCTGGTAGGTGCTGGCTACAAAATGTCGGAGCATTTTCTTCTGCCTTTTACTTATTGGCATTTCTTTGTGTCCTGCATTATCCTTATTTTAAACTGTTAAAGATGCCCTAAGGTTTACTATGAGATTGCTTGTGGAATCTCAGGACTGTTGGTCCCAAGTTGCCTAAGTCATGAGTGCCAAAAGATTGGTTTAACTTCTGATGACAGATGTCTTTCCCTTGAGGAGCTGTGTGGGGTTTGTTTGTTGTTTTTTAAATTTTTTTCCCATTGTTTTGTATGTTCTGTCATAGTGGGGATGGCAGTGGAGGGAACTGCTGGACAGCAGTGAAAGGCAAAGGGGAAGGAAAAGGTGGCCAAGGGTGAGAAGAGCTGGCCAGGACTCTGCTAAGAGTCTGTGTGACTGGCACCTGGGGCTTGGTGACCAAGAGGACATTACAGTAGTACCAAATAAGGGCTCCCAAATTTCCTTGTGTCGTGGTATATGCATTTATATGCACGTGAATAAAGAGGTTATGGTACTTAAGCAAATAGGTGGCAAAGTGTAAATCTCCAGGAAGCTGATCTGTAATGGATATTTCCTTCTTTATCAGATGCAAAGTGCTTTAAGGACAATTATTAAGGGAAAGTTCGTGGTGAGTAGAATTTGATTAGTCATTGGAAAATATGCGAGTTTCTGCATATTCTTCCATGAATCTGTGAGTGAAGGGATGATTCACAGCCAGGAGAGTTTATACTGTGAGAAATCTGTGGTGCCTTCCATGAATGTGCAAGTGTGTGATTCTCTGCAATACAAGCATGCTTATTTCAAGGAAGATTCTGTTTGAGGACATAAGATGATTTCTCTTGTTTTGATGACCTAGGAATTTCTTTTTTTTTTTTTTTGCCACACATAGAGGAGACCTGCTTTTGTAAAACAATATAATCAATCATATTTTATTCCCTTAATATTTAGAAAAGAAAGATCACCTATTTTTTTATGTTCTTTATTTATTGCAAAAGACTCAAGAATAAAAATATCTAGTGATGATTTAGTTGTGCAAGCACAAAACAAGAAGTAGGTTTAAAATATCAGAGGGCCATGTTTAGTAAAAGTTATATAATACATGAACTGTTAAACTGCTTTTTCTGTACGTAGACCAAGTTTTCAGATTACAGGTAAGGTTGAAAGAGAAAAGGGAAGAGATAGGTTGTTAAGTTCACTTGAGATTTTCTTCCTGCTGAGAAGTGGAGATGGTTCCATGCATCCTTTTGGCTGTCAGATGCATTGGGAAACTTAAAAAACTAACACCTAAGAGACTTTTGGCTTACGTTCTCAAACATAGATTTTTTCCCCCATACATTAAGCAGCTAATCCTTTAATCAGCTGAATTGTTAATGCCAATGTAAATTTCCTCTGTGGTGGAAAACTGAATTTTTTTCCCATTGGAGAAGATGGTATAAACATTTACAGGTCAGTACCTCTCTGGGAGAAGTGATGAGTATCTACATATTCTGCCAAGGAGTGTGAAATGAGAGCTTCATTTGGCTTGAATGTTAGACTTGATCTTGCTGCTTTCTAGTAGTGACTTTTATTTTTCCTTACTGCTTCCAGAATTTCTGTCTGAATTTCCTTACTGTTTCAGACTTAGAGTAATAAATTGAAAAACCCGAGTCTCTATTCTGTCATTTGTTTTCTGTCTTTTGGATACTTTTAAAGAACAGTATGTCACTGGAAGAGTGAATCCACTTCTTGCTCTTTGTGGAGTATCTTCACAAAGGAACATTAAAATTCACCTTTTTCCCTGTGTTTTGAAATGCTTGTGTTTCAGTTGTTACCCAGGGAATCATTGTAAGTCTTCAGATGAATATTTAGAGCTTGGTTTCTGTGGTCAAATGAAAAAATGAGCATGTGTAGCTTGTAGCTCTTTTTCAAATAATTTGTTCCTTTTAGCAGCTCAGTTCTGCAATGTCTAATGCTCACTTACAACAACCAGACTTCCTGTCATGGCCAACCAGCAAAATGGGGATGGAATGAACTTCACAGGCCTGATACCCCTGCAGTGGCTGGTCAAAGTGAGTGTGAGATGGAGGTACTCCAGTACACTTTCCCCAAAGTCAGGTTGACACAGCAATGGTTTGATTTGGTTTTGTTGCATAGAGCAGAATGTAAACTTTTATGGGCATATATGTAAATTGTACCTTATTCTTATGTCATTTGTGGAGGTGCCTTCTAATTTTCAATATGAAGCCAACAGCCATTTGAGATGTACGGCCTCTTGAATTCAGAGCTCAAACTGGGAAGGACTGTAACACGTTGCTCTGCTGAGCAATCCAGTGAGAAGTTATAAATTTAATGGTAATTTGTTGTTGCTGTAGGTGACAGCTCTGTGTGACCTGATTACATAAAACCCTGGGGGTTTAAAAGGTGCACTTCTCTAAAGCTAAATCCCCAGAGGACCCTTGGAAAGGTACTCACGGGTGCTTTCTCAAGGTGCACCACACTGTTTCATCCTTGTGACTGTGTTTTCAGATCATTTTGTGGCTTATCTGTAATGACTTCTTGAGCCACTGAATGTTTCAGTAAACATCTTTGTTTGTATGAGCTGAATTACTTTCCCTACCACATCTATACTGCCGTGCTGCTTTCTGCTTTCTTGTGACTTTGTTCTCTGAGAGGAGCCTCAACTTGTTCCTCTAGAATCACACAATATTCGTGTTCCATTGCTGCTCTGAATAAAGGAGGCTGTTAAAACACACCTTGTGTAGTTAATATTTAATTCTGCAGAAGTGAGAGCAGAGCCATTGTCCTCACTAACCACCGTGAAGTACATTTGCCAAAGGATACTAAAGGCGTTTTTCATTCACTGGGTGCTCATTTGCACATAGCCTGTGTTGAAGAGGGCAGTTTCTAAAATGAAATCTTCTTTGAAATATTTTGTAATGCAAATTGTTGGGAAAAAGAAAAGTATTCTGAAATCTGGTTCTTCAGTGTGGAATGTTGCTATGCATACATACACATGAAAATGCAAATATATTCATGGAGAGAATGCCCATCCCATGTCTCAGTGCACAGCACCTGGGTGATCACAGTCCCTTATTTTCTTCTCTGAAACATTGCCAGTAATTTCCCTTTAACCTTTTGAGACTTACTGAAATAATGCTCACAGAATGATTTCTGAGTCCATAAGCCTCCTCTGAATCTTTCTGTAGGCTTTTTCTTCTCCTTCATTAAGTGCATTACTGAGCTCTGATCCAAGCATCATTTGTGGCCACAGACACTGAAGGACTCCTGGAGAATTTAGGCTTTGAATCAGGAGTGTTCTCTTAGAGGACTCTGTAGTCCATAATGGTAGACTTGGGTGAACTTCTACACTGTTAATTAATCAAGACTTTGCTATCAAGGATACCTTGCTAGGTTGACAGTCTCTAAGGTTTTTTGACTTACTCGTTTATAAACAGTCTGCCTGTCTTTCCAGCCTAAAATTACCGGACTCAGCCAAAGGTGATCTGTGCAAATTTGCCTTCCTGCAGTGAATTTACATGGGCACTTGCAGCTCACAGAAGGTGCTCTGCTGTTGGCACTGACTGGTTTTCAGCAGGGGCTGTTCCCTAATCTGGGTGCTGAATGATTGTTCTCCCAACCAGAGGTGGCTAGTGGGGGATCACAGGGCAGACAGAGGCAGAACTTCTTCCTTTAAATAGCAGTGCTGGTTTGTTCTCTCCATCTGGGATGAGCACAGTGTTGTTGTGTACAATAGCATAATGTTCTTTTCAGTTCTCCTCTTCACACAGTTTTCTACCTGTGCTTACCTTATGTCTTGTCTTCTGCTCAGCTTGCACAGCACCTGCTGTAGTGAAATCCAAGTTCTGTTTTACCCTCTACCTCTAAGTGTGACTGAAGGAAATGTAACAGGAATTCCTACCTCCGAGAGTGTGACTGAATGTGATCACTGCTACCAGGTTATTGGAGTGGAGATCAGTGGAGATGTGGAAGATCAAAAGTTTATTGTGAAATTCATGGCAGTAAAAGAGCTCCAGCAGGTGCCCTGGAAGGCATTGAGCAATTAATCTGTGCAGTCTTTGGAAAGTAGCTATGTAGTAGGGTAATGATCCATTGAATTAACTGATTTACCAAAGAACACACAGCAGCAGCAGCTGAAGTTCAGAAGCTTCAGGCTCTGAACTGCCAGGAATACTGGACATCCAGATCAGAGCCTGAGACAGGATGATAATTGAAGGTGCCTTGGAGTCCAGTCTTGTTAAAGAGTTGCTTGAGGGAGTTGTCAGAATAAATCAGTGACTGATGAGGCTGCCAAGGAGATCCTTTCAACCTGGGGAAATAACCACATGAAGGAATGGATGAAATGTAAACTAGTGTTGTGGGTTTTAGAGTGGCACTAGACTTCTTCAAACTATTTGGCTGGGGACTGAATGTGTTGGGAGTGTCCATGTCTGGCTGGGTGTGAGTCAACTTCCCTACAGGGCATACTTTGGTTTGTGTTTCCTTGGGAAATGCATTCATCTTCTTTCACTTTTTTGTGGAAATTGCCCCTGCAAATGTATCGGATTTGATCTGACACTGCAAGCTGCATATGTTCAGGTCTATGCTTTTTTTGGGTGTATCAGGCCCCAGGAATATGTGTCTGTGAAGCCAGGCCAGGGTATGTCTGCAATTTGCACGTGGCATTGAGGAGGAGGAGGAGGAGGAGGAAGGCTCAGTGCTTGAAGGCAGCACAAAATAAGAGTGTCTGAAGTGCTGTGCTTGTAGTTCTGGCACAGGCATGAAGTTACATTTTACTTGTTCAGTGACAGATTGTGCTATAAAAAGTTCACAATAAGTGTGTAACAGCTAAGTTGGTACAGTTGATTTACTAATCTGAGTCTGAAACATGTTGTAGCTTTTCCTGGCCTGTTCCTTTCTCGGTTCAGTTGGGATCAGCCACTGGAGTTCATGGGCATCATGTGGAAGGGGCCAGGTAACTCCAGACTACCTGGGAAGACCATGGAGCTTAGTGTGAGACCAGAATTTATGCTTGATGTGCATGTTTCTCTTTTCTCTCTCCGATTTTCTGCCTTGGCTTTTCTTTCAATGAGATAGAATAATACATGCTAAATGGCACTATAAAATGTAATTAAGGTTATACAGGTAGTTTCTATTCATTTTCTGCAAGTGTAATATGTATTATATCTTTGCTTCATTTATTATTTAAGCAAATGTAGTACTATCTTGCCAGACTTTGATAGAATGTATTTAATATGTTGCCAGAAAAGTAGAGGAATGTAAAATTTTGAATTTGAGTGGGTTTTATGTAAATCTTTCTCTCTCCTCCTCTTCCCCCTGTTTTGTTCTCTTGCTGAACCGTTCCTCTAATCTTCTGAATGTTTAGCAACTAGGGCATAGTGATCTCTTTTTCAGAGACCAGCTGGAGAAGCAATAATGTGCCTGTGCACACAAAAATCCTTGTGCCTCAATGTGTATGCACACACGTTCATGCAGGAGAATGGCATGGCAGGGTTGAAAGGCCTTAAGGCAAGGAGAACTGTAGTGAGTGTGTGTAACTGAGGGGAGGCATTGAGTAAGTTTTTTATTATTTCAGAGGTCAGTGTGAGGTAACAGCCCCTGGAAATGACAACAGCAGTGCAGGTTGTGAAATCTGCTTTATCGCTGCTCGTAGTTCGTACTTCGAGGGGGGCTTCGTGTTGTGGTGTTCATGTGTGGGAGTTTATAGGAGTCTGAAAGGAGTCACTTTGAAGTTAAAAGTGTGTTCTCTGCTGATATTAACGTGAGTTGGTGGGCTAAGATCAACTTTTTCGGATGGTGGCATTTAGGATGGTAATTTGGATACCTCACTAGGGGTCTAAGAGAGCCTCTGGATGGTAAGGGGATCAGTCATCGTTAGGAGCTTTTGGTTCTTGGTCATTTATAGCTGCAGCATGAATTTATTTTAGAAGTTTGCCTCTAAATTTAAGGCCCTTGGCCAATATGCAGATCTTAGGAGATGTTTACGTGGTTTGAGAGGGTGGCTGAGACACGAAGGTTGAGACATTTAAAACTTTACCTTGATGCTTGGAGAAAAGAGTTTAAGAAAGATGTTTGTGTCCTCTGATTAGTTCATGTTAACCTTTGAGGTCTCGTTTTCCCAAAAGAAGTTGTTTAATGACTGAGAGAAAGGAGTATGGTGGAAAGTTTGGCCTGGGATACTTTGCTTCCAAGATGAGTTAATGTTTCATTATCAGGATTTTGTTGATGAACTTCCTTACTTGTCTCTCCTTCCCATGTTGGCATCATAGAAATGCAGCATTACAACAGGCTGAAGCTTTACCCATTGTTCGGCTCACCCTCTGTTGCTGTTTCATTGTGTTATTAACTGTCTTCTGTTACTGATGAGGTGCTCATTTAAAACAGGGGTTTTATGCTGTGTTATTCTTAATTGCATGGACAGAAACCCTCAGCTGTTTTCCTTGGATCTTGCTGAGTCTGATAAACACATTTCAAGAGCAGCCATGAAATGTTTTTCTTCGCACTTCATCCTGTAGCTCGTAAGACAAGACTGTCCACAAGTGGGAAGAGCTGTTTATTTGTCTGGTCCACAGGCAGAACAAAACCACTTCCTCAGTTTTCTAATAAGTATCTTATCTTGAGAGTGCACATATTTCTATTTCAGTGCTGTCTTGCTCCTGCTGTGCAGGCCTTGTAACAAAGGTTTGACAAAAAGGGAAAGTGTGTGACTTGGGAAAGTGCGTGCCTGTGCAGTGTTCCTGTTCTGCTGTGCTCTGATGTGTACCTGTGTTCTCTAGAGAGCAGCAAGCTGAAAGTGATACAGCAGTTTATGTTAAATAACAGAGAGAGACATCTTTGGAATTGACCATGAGAAAACTCACAAACTTTTTAATTATTAAGCTCAATTTTCTGTTTATATTCCTGCTTTAAATGTTTTTCTTACAAGTGCCAGTGACTGCACTAGGTGACAAGATTAGCTGCTTATGGTATGATTTGTAACTTTTAGGTGGGTAAGGTAGAAGCTGTATCTTTTCTTCTTTGAACAGTTGTCATGGCAATTGGAAATCTCTCTTAGAGTTAATGCTGTTTGTGAAATCATATCTTCTGTAACCCAAAGGACCATATGTGTGTGCACGTTGTCCATGGACAGTGATAGTGAAATAATAAAAATACGACAAGTTATTTTTCTTCTTCTTCAAATCCTTCCCTAGCATTGTCTATTAGTCAGTAATATATTTACTTTTGGATTGTTGGATTGCAAGCTGGTGCAATTTGCATTTCTTGTGCAATACAAACCTGTAAGTCTATACATAGAGCTATTTTATATGTGTGGGCATGCTTTGAGTTATTAATGTTACTGTTTCAGGCTCTGCAGTTGTACTGACTGATTGTTGTTTCCTTTCAGTGGATCTGATGGAAATAAAAGAAATTCGCCCAGGGAAGAATTCAAAGGACTTTGAACGTTGCAGAGCAAGGCACAGAGAAGAACACTGCTTTACTATATTTTATGGCACCCAGTTTGTCCTCAACACCTTAAGTTTAGCAGGTACTTTTCTTTGTTTCTTCTTTAAAGCTCCCACTGAACAAATCAAACGCGTTGATGGAACAGTAATGCAAAGGATACTGTGGTTTTAACTTCAGGAGTTCAGGAGTGCATCAGATGCTTAAAATCTGGAGATAGATCTTTTACTTGGCCCTCCTTGTCTGTGAACTGCTGCATTTTAATGTTTCACTTTCAAATAGTGCATTGTGCAAGTGTTATTTCTGATTTGCTCAATCATTTCTAGCAAGGTAGACTTTTGCTGGTTAAATATCTCCAGTAAGGTTTTCTACACTGAAGAGCAGAGATAACATTGTCCTCTTCAAAGTCAGCTTGTCAGCCAGAATATTGTCCTGGCATTTTAAGCCTGCCAAAATGATTCTGGAAAAAATAGCCATAAAGGGTTAGACCACAGCTGTGTCATAGAAACTTTCCTATCACCTCTGGGCAACTGGAGGTTAATCTGAGAAAATGGAATTCTAGTTTAGGTTATGTGTGTGCATGTGACCTGATAATATTTTCTAAAGATCTGCTAGGGCACCATAAATAAATTTCTAAGATGATAAATTGAAAAGGAAGAGATCTGTGTGAAACAGAGGGACATTGTATCCTGTATCTGTGGAAAGGGTTGGGGCATTTCTTATTTCAGGTGAGATTATCCAGGGTCACAAAACCCAAAGAATTTGAAATGAAAAGGGATATAAATTCTTACAGTGCAGGCTGAATACAGCTTCTAACTAGCAGAGTTTGCCAAGAGATTCCTCTTCTAAAAAGTTTGTAATGGATCCTTGGTTTAGAATCATATAGACAATTTATTTGGAGTAGTAGCTCTCTCTGTCCTGAGCAAGAACACGCTTACTCATTTAAATCATTAAATTCATTTGCAAAATCATGATGTGAGGAAAGGGGAGTGCTTTGTAAGTGCTTTAATGCTGCCAGCTCTTTCTTTTTTTTTTTTTTTAATGGAATGAATTGCTTATAGATTGCAGTACTAGAAGACAAGTTTTTTGCAGTCTGGCGCTCTCGAAATGAAAGATTGCTTGTGACTAATCCATTGTTAGAGGCTTTTAACTTTAAATAAGTTTTACCATTGTTGACTGTAGTCTGTGAAAATTTTGAGTAAGTGGCTGTGCTTATGTGCAGCTGTGCCAGGTACTTAAGATTGATTTCCTCTAAAAGCCCCCCCAGTCCCTCCTCCGTGGCACTTCCCAAAATAGGGCTCTGCCAAGACTTGGAAAACACTTGGTACCATGAGATATGTTGCTGTAAGGCTGAACTGCAGAACAACATGACATAACTTTCAATTAAGGGGGAAATCCTTTTCCTTGTTGAAGTCCTTTGTCGTGGTTTCTTAAAACAATATAAAATAACTGTTGCTTAAAGGGAATGGTAGCTGTCATAAAGGGCAGAATTGTCTTGGGAGAAGAACTGCTTTGGCAGTGGTAGTGGGTGTTCTTTCTGAAATTGTAACTAATGGAAAAACATTTCTATGGGGAGCTGAGGCTGGGCTCTAGCTTCATCCTTGGGGGATAAAGCATTGTTTGAAAGTATGCTTAAATAAAATGTAATCTTCATCTTTTGAGAAACTGGTTTGCTTTGGTTAGGACAGACAGGAGGTGGTTATGTCCATTGAAAGCCAGTATATTGCAATTTTGTTGTAAGTTGCTTGAAATATAAGCAGCTTTATGCTGTAGCACTGAGTTCTTTTTCCTGTGCACTTCAAGTTGCTCTGATCTAGGTCCTGGGATTTTGACCCTTTGGAGACAGAAGATAAGAAAATTAATTTTGATTGTGTTACTACAGGAGCTCAGCAGTAGTTTCATAGTGTTTCTGCTGAGATATTGAAACTTTCCTGCTCTGATAAGCAGACTTCCAAAAGGAGGTATTTTTTGTCAGAGCTTCCTTACTCCCAAGTTTATGCTGTTTCTTATTAGTTTTATTATTGGAAACATTAAGCTATGCAATGAGATTTATCAAACAGAAAGGTTAGTCAGCAACTTTGTATACTAGGGTTTATCTAAACATCTCAAGTTATGTCTTGGTTTTGTAACGATTTTGTTTTGATGTTTCTCATAGTGTGTTACTTTTTTTCAGCTGACTCTAAGGATGATACTGATAAATGGTTGTGTGGCTTGAATATCTTGTATCAAGAGGTCATGAGTGCTCCCACACCTGCCATCACAGAGAGGTATGTGGACATACTTTCACTTTGGGAGGCTGGATGCTGCTCTGGAATTGAAAGGGGAAACTCTGAAAGAAATGTTTAAGTGGTGCTTGGCCGTTACCCTAAGAACAGCTCCTCTCCATTAGTGTATGATACTGAAAGCTCATTTGGAAATTGTCTGTTTTGCTACATACACGATCTGGAATCATGCTCTGCTTCATCCACTAATGCAAGGTTGCAGTTTACCTTGTTCTTTGTATCCAACCCAAAATCTCTTCATGAGATCACAAGAACACCTGGTGTAGGTGTCTGTTGGCTTCTTGGGAAATTCAAATGTCTTATGCAGCCACAGTAGGCTTGTTCCAGTAGTTGTCCATGTGTCCTGTGTCCTAGTAATTCCGAGGTACATTTTTGCAGTTTTTACTTTCTACTGGCCCCATTGTGTTGTGTGACAATGTGATCGGCTGACTTGGAGGCTCAGACTGAAAATGAACGTTTTTAAGAATTATTTCTTTAGCAGCCACATGATGGTGAACCTGTGCCCTTAATCTTCTGAGGATGTTGCACATGAAACTGCTCATTCTCAGACTGCCAGTTCTGGTGACAAGCTTTCAGTGTTGTCTCCATACCTGATTACTTTTGGTCACTGCTGGCATTGTCATTGTTGTTTATGGTCACTTCTGTTACCTGTTGTCAGGGTATGCTCTGCCCTCTCTTCCTCCCTGACCAAATTGTGGCCTTGACACTGATGTCAAACGAGTAATTCCTGTTGAGTCTGAGGATCACCTTAGCAGTGCATTCATCCTTTGGATCAAAATTTTGTGTGTGAATATATATTTACTCTTAATGCTGCTAACAGTATTTTACTGTGCACCTAAAACTGGTATGCACTTATGCATCTAACAGATCTTTGAGCCAGCAGCCTCAGCTGGCATAAATCATTGACTTTATGGAGTTACTCCAGTTTAGATTAGCTGAAGTTTTGGCTTGCTTTATCCACTTATGTTTTCACAGCTTCTGGTTGCTCATTCTTTTCAGTCCTGCCCACCCTTCCCCTTCCTGTGTTGTTTATATGACTTTTGTTGTTTTATTGACTTGAAAATGCAGTATTAAGCAGCAAAAAAAGTACATGTTTACAAATGCACTTATAAAACTGAATCCTTAGATGTATCTAAAGATAAGAATTTCCATTGAGTTTTGTCTATGGATTTTGATATTTCATTGGCTGTATTTTTTTTATAATTCTTAAATTAACCTCTTTTTTTCCCCCCATTTTTCCCCTCTTTTCCACAAGCTGGCTGAGAAAGCAGATCTATTCTGTGGATCAAAGTAGAAGAAATAGGTAAGAAGCTCTGTCTTTGTTCAGTTGTTTTTAGTGAACTTCTGTTGCAGATTCTAACCTGGAATAAAAATAAATAAATAATTCTCTGTCCAAGATGTGAAATATGAGGCCCCTGAAAATGGTATTTGCTTATGATCTAGCAACTTGAATTTTGCCATTTGCTAAAAACAAATGTGTTTGTAGCACTCACTTGTGTTCATGTACATGGCATAATGAAGAAACAAATGATGAAAAATAAGTAGATTAAATTTTAGCCTAGAATTACTCTGGCAGAATGAGGAAAAGTAGCTGTCATCTTCCAGTCTTACTGCAGAGATTGAGCTCAGCAGTGCAGGTAGTTGGGTTGCCTGCTTTATTGAGGTCTTTGCCCCTTCATGGCCAAGTTGGAGCCCAGATGCTTGGACTGTATAACCTGCTGTGAGCTTTCCTGTGCAACTGTGCCACCAGGTCTTCCTTCATTGCTGACCATGTTTGCATTGCAGTGACCAGGCTCTAACACAGACAGACCAAACCAGCAGCTGGCCTGGCAACCTGGGCTTGTCTCTGCCACATATTTGAACAGACCAAAGCAGAAGAATCACCTCTGACCTGGTGCTTCTCATGTGAAAGAAGTCTTGTGGGTTATAGCTCCCAGTGTGCTGTGTAGCTTCATGTGTTTTAGTTTCAGTGGCTGACTTCAGGTCCATGTTGATGTGGCTTTGTAGCTTTTGCACAGCAAAGGAGACTTCTTTTCTTCTTTTTTTTTTTTTTAAAATCAATTCAGCTGCAAACCTCTCCTCAAAGTTGCCAGAAGTCATGTGATACTGAGAAAAATGTTAATCCTTCCTTCCCTGTGTGTTATTACTTTACCATGATTTTTCTCTTTGTCTGGAACATGCATTTTATTCTAAAGTGTAATTCAGTGTAGAAAAGTACGTGCTTTTCCTCTCATTTTACACCTTTTCCTACAAGCAAACTGCAGTGTGGTGTGTCATTGTGTGAATGAGGCTGAGGTATTGCAGGAAATCACACCCTTGTGCACACAGCCTGTGGCACAGGGCAGGGTGAGCTGAGAACCATTTCAGAGCCATGTTTCCTAAACTGGCCACAGTGGAGAACAGTACCATCCTTTACTGGATATCCACTTGTTCCTCCTGATGTACTTTAAAAACTACCCTGCAATGAGAATGTGTTGTTGGGGACCATGTTAGGATAGAGCAGCTGTGGCTGACAGTAGGTGTCTGCTGAAGAGGTTTCATTTGTTGCTTTAGGGTCGTTTCATCACTACAGGGCAGCTTGGTTGGGATCAAGGGGACTTGCTCTGTGGAGAGGGTAGTTTTTTCTTCTCTCCCTAGATGATTCATGCTTTTATTAAAATTCAGGAAAGGAGTTTGGACTGAGTTCCATTGTGTTTAGAGCTGCAGTTTCTAGGGAGGTTAATTGTAAAGGTTAGGCTTCCAGGCAAGTCCTGTTTCACAGGTGGAGTTGTTTCCAGTGGTAATGAAGTCCCAGCTCTTTGTTTTCACTTGCACTTGTCTGGCCAGAGGAAATGGCTTGGTGTTTAGGGTACAAATGGAGTGCTCATTCTTGCTCCTAATGGTGTTTTTTTCCAGAGGTCTGGCGACAAGGCGGAAAGCCAGGAATTTCCTGAGTTCTAATCTGGCTTCAGCATGGACTTTGACCAAGTTCCTTATTGCTTTGCCTCTTTCCCTCACTACACAATGGAGATGAGAGGATCTCATGGGGTTGCTGGTTGTATGGACAGTGTAGAATAGAAGTGTTACTTTCATCTAAGTGCTAATTGTTTTTGTTGCTTTTCGAGCGACTCTGCTCTGACCCTGTGTTTGCAGGGAGTTAATGGCTTATGAATTGCACTGTAGGTCAAGGCAGGGTACCTCAGTCTTCTTTTATTGGGTAGTGCATTAATGTTTTGTGGGCAGTAGGACCCACAGATCTTGTGCCTGTGTTCTCTTGACCTGCTGTCTTGCTGTCATCTAGAAAACTTGGGGTTTTAACTGCTGATGGTATATCACTTAACATTCTAAAGCTCTGTAAAAAGAATCAGAGGCCTGTATAAATGAAACTGGAAGGCAATTCTTTCTGGGAAGACTTGATTGGGAAGGGAATATGAGGTCATGTTCAGATGTTGCAGAAGGGAAGAGCCTTGCTCTGCAAATCAGTGTTACCATCTAAGTGAATAACAGCTGTAGAAAAGGGTTATACTAGCATAGAAAATATACAGAAAACTAAAGCTTTTTATTTTCTGTTTCTACTCTGTTTGGTATATCCTTTGTGTGGTGTTTTCTGTGTCTATAATCCAGTTGCAGTGGGACTAGAACAGTGGAGGAAAGGCTGCAGTTCATTTGACCGTGTAAAAACATCTACATTTGAGCTGATCATCTAGATCTGATTAATTGTTGATGGAGAGAAATAGGTGTCTCTTTAACATGGTTCTTTTCATCCTGATATGGATGTTCACATGGATTGAAGTGCCTGTTTCTCTGTGTCTAGCTTGTTTCCATGTAGGTGTTATGTTTATAGAACTTTACAGGTATGTGAGATGAGCCCAACCCAAAATGTTTCAATAGTCACATTTTTGTGTTGCCAGAAAATATCTGAGTAGCTGATACAATGAGATACAACAGAACTGTAGCGGTTTTACTATCTTTTTTTTAATTCTTCTTTTTTTTCCCCCCCAGTATCAGTCTTAGAGAGCTGAAAACTGTCCTCCCCCAAGTGAACTTCAAAGTGAGCAGCATGAAGTTCTTAAAGGATAAATTTGCGGTAATTACCTGATTACTTAAATCTATTTGGAATTATCTGATACGTGTTGACATTTCTTTTTAGGACACTGTCTGTATTTTTGATTCTTACCATGTACAGTAAAATAAATTATGTTGGTTAATTTCTCAGCTTGGCTTTGCCTGTAGCTAAGGCTCTAAGAAAATATGACATAAATGTTCCTTCTTTTCATTGTATGGTTAACTAGAGCAAACATTGGATTTTGAGCTTCAGTACAGTGCAAGTGCATAGGAAATTATTTTATCTTTAAGATAAAATTCATATGTAAGATAAAGCCTTTTTTTTGCAATATGATCAATAATAACCTCTTTGCTCAAACTAAAGGTTGTTTGTTGTTCCTACAGGAACTTTAAATATCCCCACCTCTTCCTGCTTAACTCTCCACCCTTAAAGCAGACATCTGTGCTTCTCCTTCTCCCAATGAGTAAATGCTCTCAACCATGGTCTCAATGCTCTCAGTGCTCTCAACCATGAGCAAATGAGGCACTATTTATCTCTCAGTAATGGGAATGGAGTCAGAGTGCAAAATGTAAGGCCAAAGATGGGTTCTAGGAACACTATGTCATAAAGCAACATCTATTTACTTGTTTGTATTATTAAAAAAATAAATAAAGTAAAAAATCCAAAGTGTTTAAAACAAATGAAGTTGGAGTAGACCAGGATGTGTGAGAGGGTGGCAACTGGACTAAGAGTAACTTGTTCACTGTGCAAGTGCAGCTCAGGAAATTCTAAATTCACTGTGTGCTGCTTTCCATTGTAGGAAATAGGTGCTCAAAAGGAAGAGCTTACTTTTGAACAATTTCATTTGTTCTACAAGAAAGTCATGTTTGAACAACAGAAATCGGTAAGCTTTTCCATAAATAACCTTCATAATGTTCAACTGCTTGATCGGAATAAAGGGTGAGAGCTGATTATCTTTTTGTTTCTCTTTGTTACTGGTTTTCTTTTTCCCTCATTCTCGTACCAGAAGAAGGGTGTATTACTGTACTAGATGTGTAGATAGCAGTCACCATCAGCAATTGGCATAAGAAGATGAATAAGTGATTCATGTTGCTTCTTATGTGTTGGTAGTAGAGATGTGCACAGATGGAATGGGGGTTTTAGGAAGAAATTTTCTTGTGAGTTTGTACAGGATGTACAATGCCTTTTCATGAAGCTTGGCTGATCTTTTTATTGATAGAGGCAATTCCATATTCCAGATTACCAGTGGTGAGTCCATTACAGGACACACATCAGGAATAAAGGCAGTGGAGTTACATTTTAGCTAATTTAAGTGGGCAGCTGCCTAACTACTGTTTCCATGCATTCACTGTACAGATTCTTGAAACTGGTGTAAACTGCATACATTTAGTGACTCTGAAAGATAGGAACCCTTTTAAACTGTGTGAAAGCACGTAATTTGAAATTACTTGCATGAATGTCTTTGACTACGTGCTTCTTGTCAATTCAACTTGCATATACTGAAATGGAAGCTTTGATAGTTGAAGTTAGTGCTGGTTTTTTGGCAGTAGAGCTTGTGCTGTTTAAAAGTGATGTTGAAATCATGATGAAGTGATAAAGAACCTAAATTTACTGACAGGGTTTTGGTTTTGGTCATGAAAGTCTTGTTAATTAGCTTAAGCAGAAAGCTGAAGACTAAAATACACAGCAAGGAGACTTTCTGACTTCCTTAAGCTCTCATTATTGCCCCTTGTGAATCATTTCAAAGAAACTTCTCAGTTTGCTTAACAAGTGCTTTGGATCAGTAGATAAGTTTCCTGCAATCTGTAATGATGCTGTGCCAAGCTGGAAGCAATTTAGGGTTTATATTCACATGAATAAATGTGATGGATGACACTTAATTCCAGTTTTTCTAGGATATCAAACAATAAAAGCTCCCCAAAACTTTGACTGTGTGTTTTTTCTCATGCATTCAATTAAAAATGTGTCTTGCCAACTTGTATGCAACTTCTGTGGAGCAGACAGGCATTTATTTCCCCTTCCCAAACCAATGGACATAATTAGATGGACTTAGATAGAAAGTTGCATATTCTTTTATTATTTTTATTTTCCTCATTTTTTGTTTGTTTTGTTTTTTTTGTTTGTTTGTTTTAAGATTCTTGATGAATTCAAAAAGGATTCCTCTGTGTTCATTCTTGGGTGAGACTCTTCATTTGTATTATTTTTCCACATTTCCATATGATTGTAATGCTGCAGGATTGCTTTTTAATTACATCACTGTTTTGTTGTTGTTGTTGTGATGCTTTAGTAAGTGAAAAGAAATTATACACATTTTTGCATTCAGAAAGGTGAACTTATGTTGGAAGTAAGTCTTGAACATAATTTGATGAATGATTTTTAGTTTCTGACTACAAAAATGGCATGGACTTGAACAACTGAAGTTGCCTATCCTCTGATTTTATAAAGAGCTGAACAGAACTATGGAAGGACCATTTGATACAGAAATTTTAACTTCAGTCTGGAGAGTGGTGTGGTGCACAGGCTTTGCCTAGACTTGAGCAGAATGCTGATAGTAACAGCTTCTGCACCTTTCTCTTGGTGGACTTGAACATTTAAGTAAGATGTGTACAGCATCAAAAATAGGTCACAGGCGTTGCTAACCCTTTGACTGTGGACTACAACAGTTTATCCTGGGTTTGAATATTACACTAACAGATTAAGAAAGTAACTTAAGTTTGCTCTGAGTGTACCAAGGGGTTTTTTTTGCCCTGGGTTATGTCATATGAATTGAACTTTGTGAGACTGCTTAAAAGCACAGATTTATCAAGGGTGGGTAGGTTATATTTACCTTATTGGTACTACATGCTGCTGCATTTGTGGCCTACAAAAGGGAAATCAGTTATACCACTTTTCCTTGGTGCAGCTTGATGCCTCCTTTTTCTGAAGGTTTTACTCTATCACAGTGGATCATCTAAACATTCCACAGAAGGAGTTATTTGTGGAAGTGTGGCTCTGTGATATTTTAAAAGAACAATGTCCCCATTTGCCTCGGCTGAACTTACCAACACCCCTGTCAAGTGAATGCTGCTCATTTGCTACACGGCAATGAGCACAGATTTTTACTTTTTCCCAGTGAATTACTGTTCAAATACATTCAGGAGTCCTGGAGGCTCAAAATGCAGTAACTGGATACTACAATGCTACAAGCCTACTCTAAATTCCATTGAAGTTATATGAAGTTTCTTGGTGGTGGCAGCACATTCATACTGTAAATCCAAGACACAAATCCATATCATCTTCTGCTGTAATATCTGAACACACTTGCTCTCTTATTTCTTTAGCCTCACTTTCCTTTTCTTTTTTTAAAGAAACACTGACCGTCCAGATGCTTCAGCAGTTCACCTCCACGACTTTCAGAGATTCCTGCTACACGAGCAGCAGGTGGGAAGGTTGCAGAAATACTGAGTTCATTTTCCTTGAGATTGTCTCACAGAATTCTGGGCTCATTAAAAAGAAATGTGATGTGTCCTAGAATATGATTGATTTCACTGTAATACTGGGCCTTGGAAAGATTTCTCATTTGTTGCCATTGAAGCTCACAAGAACTATTATTTTTCATCTATGTAAAGCCTCTGAAGGTGCACCAGAGGACAAGAAGGAGGACAAAGCAAATAAGGTTTTAACAGGCCTCCACTTAGTCATGTAGATAAACAGACAAGGTTAGAAATAAATGCTGGGTGTGTGTCAGAGATGGTTGCCTGGCCTGGTTACAGCTGTCAGCAGAGGTGCACTGTGGTAATGCCTTGGCCATGGCCCCGTTTTAGCAGCTCTCACAAAGCTGCCTGCCTGCATTCCACTCAAAGGTATTTTTCTATTGAATACAGCCAGTTAGATGTCCCATGCCAGCCAGCAGATAAGGATGGAGGCAGGGACTGCAACTGTCTTCATGGGTTTTTATGATGTTACTTAGCACAGACTCCATGGGAAAAAATTGTGTGAGATTCGCTCGGTGCTGCTGAGCTCCAGGTTTGCAAATATGGTTGAAAAGCGAGACTTGCACTTCCTGTATAAGCTTGCTACTTTCTTTTTCTCTCAATTGCACTGTGCTCAAAGGACATTCAGATTGCACTTAGAAATGAGAGAGATTATAGTGAAGCAATGTCCAAGGAGGCCAGCTTTTTTCTGTGTGTCAGTCCCTCTATGTACTTAAGTAGTGTATATCTTCTGGACCTCCAGTCCATAAATGTACTTACATGGAGATCTTATTCTTCCCCCCTTTGACATCATAAGGGAAACCCTTAAGATATGTGATTACAATAAAATATATTGACAGTAAACAAGGCAGATGAGAAAGAAGTAAATCACATCTGTAAGTCTCTCTGTTCCTTGTTTGATTTTTATGTTGAATAACATCACTTCTAAAGTTTCTTTTCTACTGTATTTTTATTATCTGAAGGAATCTTGGGCACAAGATCTCAGTAAAGTCCGAGAACGAATGACAAAGTTTATTGACGACACTATGAGAGAAACTGCTGAACCTTTCCTCTTTGTTGATGAGGTGAGATAATGGTACTTTGTAGTGCTTCTCATGGACTTCTTCTCTTTCACAATATTTTCATTGGATGGCAGGTCCTGTAGGCCTCTCTTGCTACATTGCTGGCCTTCTTTCAGTCTTGTATGGTATAAACATTTAAATTCTCTCTCTTTGTATTGTAGTTCCTTGCTTACCTTTTTGCAAAAGAAAACAGTATTTGGGATGAGAAATATGATTCAATAGATGTGCAGGATATGAATAATCCTTTGTCCCACTACTGGATTTCTTCCTCTCATAACACGTAAGTTACCAGAAGTCCCACTGTCTATCCCTATTCAAACAAGCCTAACACCTGCTAGGAGACAGTAAATTATGCCAGAAATGTACTGTGTGGATGTGTGAAACCTTCCTAAAGTGTGATGTAAATGTGCTAAATAGAGTTTGTGGGACTCCTTTTTCCCCTTCTCAGAAGATCTTTGAGCTTTTGAGATATAACCGAGCTCAGCTGCCAGAAAACCCAAACCCTGAACCCTGTTACAAAAATAAAAAAGTATTGAGTTGAAACTGTTCCAGCCTCTCTGCCTTCAGAAATATAAGTTACTAAAGGAGCTTCCCTTTTTTTTTCCAAGCACCAACAGCCTTGCTGAGCTCCTGTCAGCATTAGTTGTACAAAGGATGTGATGATGAGTTTGAACTGTCTTCAGATGAAAGGGATTTGCTCATCTAGCAAAAATGAATAATAAAAAAAAAAAGATGTAAAGAGAGGGAGGAGAGATGAACAAATAAAGTATTGCAGGGAATGCAATAAAGTGGATATGGATATAGCTTACAGGTGTATTTTGAAGTATGAGGTGTGGTATCACTCTAAATACCCTCCACATCCCTTAAACATGATCATGCCTGAGCATGATGTGGTTTAGGTGTGATTCAAAGCTTGTGATTTGCTCTCTAGAAGCATGTCAGTTAGAGCCTCTTGATGTTTATATTGAGACTTTAACCTCCTAGAATTCTGTCCATTCAAAAATCTGATAACATCAGGTTCAGCAGAGTTTGGTTCTTCCATCACAATTTAAAAAAAAAATTAAAAAAAATCAACATATATTCTCCATTACAGGAGACAGAATATCACCCAGTGAGTGAGTGAGAACTGGGTGAAATGGACTCCCTGTCTTTTACCTTTTCCATTTCCTCCTTAGATACCTGACAGGAGACCAGCTTCGAAGTGAATCCTCCACAGAAGCCTACATCAGGTGCCTTAGAATGGGATGTCGATGTATTGAGTGTGAGTAAAGAGCTTGTGGAGTAGTTTGTAACATGCTGTCTGTACAAGTAGTGTCCTCTGTTTACCAAGAAAGAAAAAAGAACTGAAATCAAGAACTAGTTTGTTTTCTGAATTTGAAGTTAGTCATATAAAGAACACTGATTCCCTGAATTGTTTTTCTTATGTCCCACTATTGCCCCATTCACTTCCTCTGATTCTTGTTCCCTTGCAGTTTTCAGAAGGTCTTCCTAAATCTCCTCTCAGTGTATACCAAAATTTCCATCTTGAATCTATATGAAAGCTTAGGATTTAAACTGGAGCAATTGTGTAGCATAGACACATAGTTTATTTGCCTTTACTGTAATACAGACAAGCCTAAGACACAGATATTTTTGTGATTTGGTGCCATTTGTCATCCTGTTCAACTTGCTTGTAAATCAGTTGATGTCTTTCGTGCATTTGTTCTCCGTCAGTTGTGAATGCATCTTATCTGTGTGCTTGTGTTCCTTATTGAAAAGTTTAATTTATTTCATGTTATTTTACCAGTTACTTCATAAACTAGGTTCTATTGCCTCTTCCATTTGGCTGATGCAAAATGTATCTCAAAGTAGAGTTTCAGGGTCAAAATCAACAGAAGGCATAAGCTCTCAACTTGCCACTTGTTGAAATTGTATTTATCCTTGGAAAATTATTCTAACCTGGTAGACTGACACGAATTTGCCAGAATTTCTTGTTCCAGATTCCCACATAACAATGCTTTGGGAAGATTTTATATTGTATCATATTTGTCTTGCTCTTACTTAAATGAGCTCAGTTTCCTCGGGGAGAGATATAAATTCATGTAATGGAATATTTTATTAGAACATTAAAGTCTGTGAATCAGTATGTAGAACACTGAAGTTTTGGATGTATTCTTTCTACTAGAGTGATTTAAGGAACTGTTTGTCTTCCCTAGTGGATTGCTGGGATGGTCCTGATGGGAAACCCATCATTTACCATGGATGGACACGGACAACAAAGATCAAGTTTGATGACGTAGTACAGGCAATCAAAGATCATGCCTTTGTTACATCTGAGTAAGCTTTGTTTGATTTTTCCTTCAGCATTTTTTCATAGCCCTTTCTGAACTTATTTGCTCTGTAATCTAGAGCAAAAATGACATCCAGCCAAATGTGGGTCTTTCCAAAGAAGAGGTTTGGGCTAGATAGCTCCACAGGTCCCTTCTGACCTTAGTGATTCTGTGATTGCACATCTCTTATTATTTGTTGAGGTCTGTCTCTTCCTTTTGTCATCTTGTTTGCTTCAGATATTTTCTTTGATCTGGTGGTTGATGGAGAGTGTTGTTTTCTTGGCCTTGCCAGCTGTAATAATAAGAAATTGTCTTCATTCACCTCGTTTTTCTGCACCAAAGATACCCAGTCATTCTGTCAATCGAGGAGCACTGCAGTGTGGAGCAGCAGCGACACATGGCCAAAGTGTTCAAGGAGGTATTTGGGGATCAGCTTTTAGTGAAGCCTGTAGAAGCCAGTGCAGATCAGCTTCCATCACCAACCCAGCTGAAACAGAAAATCATCATCAAGGTAGGCTTGCTTTGTGTGCTGGGAGATAAAATAGGAAAACAAGAGCAGGAGCCAGAAATACTATTTCTCAGACTGAAACTACAGTAGAATCTTTTTGAAAGGCAATATTAGGTAAAGAATCTGAGAGCTGTTCATGATTTCTTTAGTAAAACAATAATCACTTTTGTCCATGCTGCAGTTATCTGGCTAACAGTACTGCATCCTCTGTATTAAACTTCTGAACAGAAGAAATAAGGGTAGAAAGGTATAAGCATCCAGATTATGTCAGTCTGGAAATAGTAGCACGCCATTATAAGGTGCAAAAGTTCTGTGCTAAAGTTTTTGGGTGGTTTTTTTGTTCCCTCCAGACTGTTTGTTGTTACCTTGCAGAGCACAGAGGGGACTGGCACAGGCACATGATTAATAACATGACAGATCTGATTTAAAGGGAATTGAAAACTCCTATGAGTGTGCACAAGAGAACATCCATAACACTCAGTGCTGTCTAAAAGAGCACTGAAGAGTCTTTAAATAGATCAGCACCTGCCAGTGAGCTGGTTGTGTTGTTTGGCTTTTGTTTGGAAAATGTTGTCAGTAAACAGTCAGAGGCAACTCCTGCTTTACTGGCCTGTGAGATTTTTCAGATAAGCCTGTCAAATTGAAATCTGCCAGCAGTAGGCTAAGCAGAACTGAATGTGGTTGAGAACTAGATATGAGACAATTAATCTCATCATTAACTGCAGTTAAGTAAGTGATATTACCTGTGGCCCCCTGAGATACTGGTTTTTGTGAGAACTCTCAAGAAAGTAGAGCTTGGCCCCTTTTTCTCATGAAAGATTTCCCTTGTGCTCATTTTTCTTGTAAAAGAGTGAAATCCCCATTCATTTTAATTCCCTGTCTTTTCATTTGTTTTGACTTTTTGTTCCTTATGTCCTGCTCTCTGCAGAAGGATTCTTGTTTTATCCTTATTTCTTGGTACGTTTCACTTCATGTTTTCTGTTCTCTAAAGAATAGCAAAATCTTATAAAACTAGTTGTTTCTTTATTGCTTGAATGATACCTCTGCTAGTTTCTTAACCTTTATATGAGATCTAAATTTTAAAGAAAGAAGTTCCAGCCCTGATGTTCCTTGTAGGACAGCTGCTGTTATGGGAATGACAGAAAGTGGCTGTGCAATTACTTCCAGTAATACTGAGCATGCTGAAACATTAAGAGCAATTTTATGTGTGATTCTCTGCAAGTGTATGAATGTGGTGGGGTTTTTTTGTTTTTCTATTTTTTAGCACAAAAAACTGGGGCCAAAGGGAGACATTGATGTGAACTTGGAAGACAAGAAAGAAGAAAAGAAGCAGCAAGGAGAACTTTACATGTGGGACACAATAGAACAGGTATTATTTCTGACATTTGCTGGTTTGTTACTCAGTTCTGTAATACTAGAAATTTGCATGAATTTTCTTAGTATTTGTGTAAGTAATATTGCCAGTTGAACAGGTGTGGATGAGGGGAAGAAGGTATTTTGTTTATTGTTACACCTTGTTTTGAGATTGTGGTTTCCCTCTTTCTTGCTAATGGTTTCAATGTCTCCCAACTTTCAGAAATGGACTCGGCACTACTGTGCTATTGCTGATGAAAAGCTTTCATTCAGTGATGATATAGAACAGAATGCTGATGAAGATTCATCAAAGGTGATGGCTGTGTTTTATTGTTTAAGCATGTTCTTTTTATTCTCTCAGATTTTTTCAGTGTCTACACATGCATATTTTTTTAACCCAATGTTGAAATTGTAGAGGAACCATGTGAGGTAAAAAGTGTGGAGATAAAACATTTATAAAAGGGTCTTTGCCAAGGTTAACTCCGGTTAACCCTATTTCTGATAAAATAACTTTTTCCCTTGGTTAATTGAGGACTTTCAAAGATGAGTACAAAGGCAATTAAATACAATTTTGGTACTTATCTGCTAATGATGTAGTGTGCAGTGACAAAGTCTTTGGAGTATTATTGCTATTCTCAAACTAAACAGCATGAACTAATGTTTGTTGTGTTACTAACCCAGCACACCTCTTACAGGGGTTCATTTCCCTTTTGCAAAGTGTTTGTCACAGTTGAGCACGTGGTGCTTGGTAAAGCAGGGTGACTATAAAGGTGGTTGGCTGGAGAGCTCAGGCCTAGGAAGAGCTGAAATCCTGAAACAGGAGATTGTTTTGTCAAGAGCAAGTACTTTGTTTCAAAACCATAAAATTAGAAGTGCATTATAAAAATTCTTATTTTCTGGTCTAGGAGGTGAAACGTACTGAACTGCACTTAAAAGAGAAATGGTTCCATGGGAAAATGAAAGGGGGGAGAACAACTGCTGAGAAACTGCTCCAGGAATATTGTGCTGAAATGGGTGGCAAGGATGGGACGTTCCTAGTCAGGGAAAGTGAAGCTTTCCCTGATGATTACACCTTGTCTTTCTGGTATGGTGATTGTTTGTTTTATGGCATTGCACAAGAACGTGTGTATTTTTAAAATATGCATTTATAGCTGAGAAGAAATAGGAATAATACTCAAATGTTATGGATGGGATTGTGAAAGACTACTTTCTAAATTAAGCTTAAGTGTAACATAGCACATTTTGGCAGAGTAGGCTTTATTTGAAGCGTTAGATTTGTCAAGAGAGGACTGACTGGCTTGATTCTTCCCCCAACCCCCAACTTTTTTTGTGTTTTGGCAGGAAATAGGATTTGTCATTTCCTCAATGAGTGGGCCAAAATTAGATCTTTTAATTTATAGATAAATTGCTTGTTTCTACACTGAAAAGGTAGTCTCATGAGTGTACTTTTGTTATCAGAGATTGATCTTTTCAATGTAAGGGTCCTCAAGAGGGAAAATAATAAAGATTTTGAAGTTGGTTTTTTTGGTTGTTTGTTTGTTTTCGTAGTCTGGGTTTTGTTGTTTTTTGGTTTTTTTTTTATTCTTCTGGTTGGGACATTATGAGGAATAGTGTCAGATGGATTTCTGACTCAGAGAGCTGTCAGAGCAAATTTTGCAGAATAAGTTTGTGACAGATTTTAAACAATTGTCAGTTGAAAATTATTATTTTGGTCCTGTAGTCTCCCTTGTCAGCATTTTTGTTGGGGTTTTTTTTTTGGTTGTTTTATGAGATGACACTTGCCTCTTCACAAGCTCACCAACTAGCTGACCAGGAACGGGTGGGGAAGGGCTTCAAAAGAAGAAAATCTGTTATAAAACCTGTATTTTCCTTATGCCCCCCTTCACTTCTTCAGGAGGTCGGGGAGAGTCCAGCACTGCCGGATCCGTTCCACAGGTGATGGGGACACTGTGAAGTACTACCTGACAGACAACCTCACCTTTGACAGCATCTATGATCTCATCCAGCACTACAAGGAGGCCCACCTGCGCTGTGCTGAGTTTGAGCTGCGCCTGACTGATGCTGTGCCTAATCCCAGCCCTCATGAGACTAAAGAGTACGTACAGCAGAAGGCAAGCACCGTCGTTGTGTCAGTGTCCTTTGCCTTGTTTTTAGCTGGTCTTGGATTTTTCTGGAGAAAATTCCCTGGATTCAGGAGCGCGCTTTAAATATTGCTTGTCCCTGGAAGTTGGAGGAATAAGCATCCCTGAAAGATCCCGAGTAACACCACTGACTTTGTGAGGACCTGGTACAACAAAAAGCAGTCACTGGAAAGCAATTTACTAGCAGCAACTAGGAAAATCAGTGAGAACTGTAATGCCGTGGAAATGTGCCAATTCCTTCTTTGCTTAGTGTTTTACAACACCCAGTGGGTTGGATTAGATATTTAGTAGTTGGCTGTGGTTTGGCAACTAAGTGGTCATGGTCTGTGCCATCTGGAAACTGTTACTGGGGCAGTGAGCCCAAACAGTTACGTTTTCCTAATCCTGCCCTCCACCTCACCCCTGTCAGAGTTGGTTAGGCTGACTTCACCCCCTGTGGTAGGAACTAATACAGCTCGTGTTTGTTTCCAGCTGGTGTTTGCCTGTCGCAGATCCTGGGCAGAGCTTGCCCTTGTTTGCTGACAGAGAGCTGTAATCACTGCCCTTTGTTCTGTTGGGTTTCTTTCACAGTGAGAAAAGTAAATCTCTTTTGCATGTAAAATACTGATCTGTGACTAAACTTTTTTTTGCCCTGCTGGGATCTGGGAGTCACTGAGCACCCGTAGGTAACTTTGGAAGCCAGAGGGGAAGGTAGAGTTTAAGGGTTAGACTTTCCTGCCTTTCTGAATAAGGTAGGGATATACTGCCAGTATAAGTGGCCACAGCTTCAGACTCAAGATAGGTCCATCCCTACAGAGAAGATAAAATCAAGCACTAAAGAAAAGAATTCAAATGCCTGGTGTCTTTCTTTTGTCTGTGTTTGGACTTTACCTTAAATCTGCTGTGTCAAAACTGAATCAACTCCTGAGAATGGAATGGCAGACTAAAAGCAGGATCCAGTGCCTTTGTTTCAGGAAGAAATGTAGATTCATGTTTTATGATTTGAGATAGACAAGGTGTACTGATATATTCCTTGCTTTCTTCCAAAATAAGCTTCTGTGTTCCAATGTTTTTTAAAAAACTGCTGTCATAGGTGGCAAGATGGGGAAAATCTAATTTTTCTTACAATGTCTGAAACTGTATTGTTAATAATGCTGTCTGTTATTCTCTCTGAATGACATTTGACAAGCCTTGTAATGCCTTGTCCATTTTGGTTTTTATCTGTTGTAGTTGGTACTACAGCAACTTGAGTCGGGGCGAGGCAGAAGACATGCTCATGCGAATTCCTCGAGATGGAGCCTTTCTGATTAGGAAGAGAGATGAACCTGACTCGTTTGCCATGACTTTCAGGTAAGAAAAGGACAGATAGGCCCTACCTAGTAGCCCAACAATGTACTGGTTTTTCTTATTTAAAAAATAATGGTCTTTTTAGAGTCATGGTATTCTTGCTTTTAAACTTTGAGTAATTAGCTTTTGAGTAATCGATTTGTGCAGCAGCTCCAAGAATGGGGATGTGTACAAGAGTTAATTTGTGACTGGCATAAACTTCCATGCTTTTATAAAGGCAGTTTGAGCACCAGCTGTCCCTTTCTTTCCGTTCAGAACTGTGCATAGCCCTTCTTCACTTCTTTGACACCCCTTGCTAGATGGTGTTATTTTGAAGTTTCTTTGGTGCAGGTTCATCAGTGATTCTATGTCCTTATCCCCTAGAAATCCTGACCTGTCATATAACTGAAAAGAAATGTCAAAGTGAAATTGTTGGCTTTTCTCACTAGGGAAAACAGTTTTGAAACTGTGGCTCTTGTAAAAACATTAATAAAATGTAGAGAATTGTGGTGTTCTCCATCGTGCCTTCAGATCAAATTGCATTTCTCTGAAAACGGATAATTTAGCAACATACAAAATTGCTCATTTATATGCTTATTGTGTATTGAAGATGTCCAAAATTCCCCAGTCTCCTATGTACTTTAGATTGAAGCTTTCTGCTGTTACCAAGGTGGATATTGAAGTAACTGGAGCTGCAGCATCTCAATAAAAACATTTAACAGCGGGGAAAACAAGAAGTACCAAAACTTCAGCTGCTTGAAAGGGGGTCTTTGTGGGTGGGATGGTTTCAGAGGATGGTTTTACCCTTATCTATGGAAACACAAACCATCTTCTTTAGGTGGGATGGTTGTCAGTGGATTGTTTTGCTGTTATCGATGCAAACACAAACCTTGTGTTCAAGCACAAGAGATTTCTTTTTTCTTTCAAAATTGATTTCTGTAGTTATCAAGATGACTATAAGGAAGAGACAGCTACTCATTTTGAGGGGAGTGTGTCTGGTGCTTAGGGACAGTGGCAGATCAGCAGCAGAGGGTTCCAGAGGGACTCTCAGTCTGATCAGAGATATTTGTGTTAGTATGAGGTGACAAAATACCTCTCTGTAGGGGAAAAAAGACAGAAATGTAATCCAAGCAAAACCGTGGATTTGTCCCAGGGCTCTGTATGTTGTAGAAAAGCGGGAATGGTTTTTTGTGAATTTAATCAGGCAACTGTAATTCGATTTGAATGGGAGAGGCTTTGTTAGGGGGAGAAATCATTTCACATGGCTGAGATGCACGAGGCAGCTTTGGTGCAGTGCACACCCAGCCCTCCCCACGAGCACCGACACCTTTCACAGCACCTGCCCTTGTCCCGCAGGGCGGAGGGGAAGGTGAAGCACTTCCGAATTCAGCAAGAAGGTCGTCACTTTGTGCTGGGAACCTCGGCCTACTTTGAGAGCTTGGTGGAGCTGGTGACATACTACGAGAAGCACCGGCTGTACAGGAAGATGAAGCTGCGGTACCCGGTGACGGAGGAGCTGCTGGAGCGCTACTGCACGGTGAGGGGGGGCTGGTACCTGGGGCCTGGGGGCTGGGGTTCAGCCTGGCTGAGGTAGATCAGCTTGGGGGAGGGCTAACAGGTAGTTTTCTGTGAAACAGAGATGGTTATATTGACTTCTCTCGCAAAGTCTCCCCAAGAGATCTATCCATTGACTAAACCAGGAGCCTGAACATTTAGCTGAGGATAAAGGTCTCCTTTCTGGATGGATGTGTTTCATTATGAGAAAGCTTTGCTGAGGCTTTTGGAAAACCCGAGGTGCTGTCTTCTCTCCTCAGATATATATCTGTGGGGAAAAAAGCATCTGGCATGTTTGAGGAAACCAAAACCTGGGGATTTTGTTTCCTCTGGGGAGACTGAAAGGGGCTAAAAAGATTTTAGACCTCAGGATTTTTTATAATGTTGCCTATAGCAAAGGTTCTGTGTCTTAGGTCCAGGTCCAAATGCAATCACAAGGACAGAATACAATGAAACAGATGACTGTATATTGTTTTAGAATTTTTATCTAATAGTGAAACCAATACTAGTACTAAAGTACTGTAGCACAGAAATCATGAGTGTAGATATTTCTTTCCTGGTTGTACACAGAAGGGTTCTCACAACCAAAAAGCTATTTGACTGATTAAGAGATACCTTTGTGAGGTATTGCTGTTTCATGGGGTTTTACTGTTCATTAAACTGAGGCACAGACAGATTAAATAACAAACTCATGCTCAGGTATGTTCAACTATAGAAATGAGCAAAATATAGGTATCTGGCTTCCCTCTCTTCTGTTTGCCTATGTATGGTCAAAAAGGTGGTTTCAGCAATGAATGTTAAGTACTTTTATATTATATTATTATATAATATATAATATTATATTAATTATTATTAATTAATTAACATTAAGCACTTTTATAATTTTGATTTCTGAAACTTCTTTTTTTTTCCTTCTTGTTTTTAGGAAAAAGATATTAATTCCCTCTATGATGTCAAGATGTATGTGGAACCCAGTGAAATCACCCCCACAGTGGTATGCTTAAAGAAAGTTATTCACACGTACTATAGACTTCTTAAAATTATGAGACTTGTTTGTTTCCTGTTAGCAGTGATGAAAAGGAGAATTGAAAGCATCAGGCTGCTTGATCATGGGGGACTGGACAGCAGAAATTTCAAGGGTGTGACTTTTTTTTTCTAGTCTCTAAAAGTTGTACCCACACATTTTCTTGTGTTCAAATCCTGTACTGATTCATTCACACTGGGAATTTGGGCACTTTTTGCTATTGAGTCTGTGGAGACAATTTGATTTGGCTTATGCAGGTGTGTGTCCCCAAATTAAATACCTGTGAGAAGATTCAATTTGAGAAGGCCACATCTTTGTGGAAAGAAAGTGCAACAAATAAACCTCATTTCTGTGCCTGTGGGTGTCTCTACACACTGTTTCTTGTGTGCACAAAATCATTGCATTTCCATCATCAAACATGGCCTGAATGCACAAATAGGTGCAGAGTGTATTCATGTGCTTTCTATATTAAAATGGTGCTCTTGGTTTATTAATGAGTTATTAAAGTTTGTCTTCTTTTAAAATATAAATACTGTTTTAAAAACCAGTGGCACATCAAACATTACTTGTCTGTAACTCCTGCTAGGGCCTGCCTACTTGTAAATTCTCATAAAAACCACCTGCTTGTAAATTTTGTGAATGTAATTCCTTTTAGTCTTTTTGGCCAATGAATTTGCATTGCTGCTGAAGAATTTGGGTAGTAGGAGTAAACTCAAGATAAAGGAATTGCTCATCCTGCTAAAACTGCCTGTCTTCGTAAAGGAAATGTGACCAGCAGGATAGCTGATGTGGTTTTGAAGTGAAGGTTTTGTAGGCATCTAAGCCTACAAACTCCAAATGATTATGAATACATGGGTTAAAAATAGAGGATTGATATTTCACTGTATGGGGGTTTCTTATTTTTATTTTTATTCTACCGTAATTATGTTTCAGCACCCATAAAAGAAAGATTCTTTGGTTTTTCGTTTTCTTTTTCTTTTTTTCCCCGAGCTGATACTTGAAGAATAACAAAGTAGCATCACTTGCTTCCACCAATAGATGTCACTCTGGATCTTCTGTATTTTGTTTTCTAAGCTTCATCACAACAAAATAATAATCCAATCCTCCCCCTTTTTTTTTTTTAAATTTTTTTAAAATTGGATTATTGATTATTTTATGACCTGTCCCCCTAGATGACCCCTTTGCTCTGTTTCTCTTGAAGCCCCAGAGAACAGTGAAAGCCTTGTATGACTACAGAGCCAAAAGGAGTGATGAACTGAGCTTCTCTCGAGGAGCTTTAATTCATAATGTCACAAAGGAAACTGGAGGCTGGTAAGGACAAAGATTCCTCATGAGAGAACTTCTGGTGACTTACTAGATGGAAGAAAAAAATGAGCTTTGAGTAGTAGTTTAAAAAAACTGCCAGTTGTCTGATTGCTGCTTATTAACTGTGGCCTTATAAATCTTAATGCCAGTGTATTAAAAAAAACTCACAAAACTCCCTCGTCCTCAAGTCTCCTTTCATGTCTTTTCCATTTTTCTATCCCACAGCAACAACCTCAGCCTGCAGAGCCTCCTTTGCCCAGTGTATCCAGTATTTTTCCTTTACTACCTTCATCCTTCCCAAACATTTGTGTATTCTGGGGAGTCACTCACCCATTACCACTGTAATCCTTGCCCTGTTTCTGTCCTTGCTCTGCTAAGCACTTCTGAGGAATCAAACCCACCTTTTTTAGTTCTCTGTACAGTCTCCTTTCATAACAGGTTTTCTTTTCTAGCTGGCTTGTAAATTGCTTGGAAAGCTTGGGAATCTAATGTTTCCCTGTAGTTTCTACAGGGTAATCAACCACATAATAGTATTTTTAGTACTGGAGGGGGAAAAAGCCTCTTAAGTCATTAATTTCAGTTTACAGTAACTGTAATCCCTCTGAAATCATCTGTTTCTACAGTTAATGATCACTTTGTTAGAGCTTTTAGCTACTTCATCATTTATATTTTGGTGATAGCCAGCTAGACAAGCTACTATGGGGTATTAATGACCAATTTCTTGGGTATTATTGCTTCATTAATGGCCTATTGAAGTTCTCTAGCTATTTTTTTTCTCTCTCTCTACTTTTCTGTTTAAATTCAGGTGGAAGGGGGATTATGGAGAAAAAATCCAACATTATTTTCCATCTAATTATGTTGAAGACATGTCATCTGATAACTCTGCTGAGCTTGAGAATCAGGTGAGGGTTATGGTTTGTCCACTGCATTTCCTTGGCCGCCTCCTGGCAGTGGAAGTCTGGCTTACAGACTCACAACACTGCATGCTGTGTCTGAAAGAACACAGAACAGAGAGAGATGAATGTATTCTTCATTGTTCTCTGCTGCTGAATATTTTTGTCAGAATATATTTTCGCTCATAGAAAACTATTTAAGGAGATGGCTGATTTGGTGAGGTTTCAGGAGATGATGATGATTTCCTGTTAGTGAAAATCATACCACTTCAGGTTTTTCAGATAGTTTGGTTAAACAATAACATACCTGAAACTTTTAACTAGTTTTTCTGTATAGTTGCTGTCTTAATATTTGCAAATAAGAAAACTGTGTGTCCAAACAGATCTTACGAACCATTTTACTCTCCATTATTAAGTTTTTATGCATGACTAACCCTATAGTATTTGTCAAAAGTATCTAAAATATATGGTCCAGTGTCTTGGACAAAGAGCTCCTCAAGAAAAGAAAACAGAATTTCACAATAATCAGTTTTGACATTTTTGAGTTTTAAAAATAAAACACTGAGTTCTTTTGTTGTTCTGAAGCACTTCCAATGATTTTCCAGGAGTCTTTGGAGGAAAACACAAGTATTATATTTCCTCCCTCCAGGTCATTGTAACCTTAAGCAGACTTAACAAATGAGCAGTTATGTTAGTTCAGAAGCTGCACTCCTCCTTTTGACTACTCTCACTGAAGAGATTCACATGTGTTTATCAAAACACGATGTTTTTGATACGGAAACAGGCTTTTAAAAACAGGCTTTTAAACCTTACAGTGGGCATGCTTTCAGTGAAACTGAGGTTGGATTTAATGGTGCATGTTTATTATTTGTTAATGTCCTGTGCATGTTGACTCAAGAGAATATTTAGGGTGAGAATCAACTCATGTTTTTCAGATTATTGAGGACAACCCCTTAGGGTCTCTGTGCCGTGGCATTCTGGTGCTCAATACGTACAACGTTGGTATGTATTTTCTGATGCTCACATGTGGACTCTCCTGAGCTTTCTGTGTTGAGTAGATTCTTTTATGTTTAGAAGGAAAGATTTAGAAAAAAACCCAAACAAAACCCCACCAAAAACCTGAACCCTCTGCTTGTGTTAATTTAGCCAACGTGGTTTGTACATTGAAACTTTATAACGCTAACTGTTGCCATAAATCAACAATGACAGCTTAGAAAAAGAACTGTTGGATTTCAGTATAAATTTCTTGCTACTGTATTGCCTAACAGTGAAAATGCCACAAGGGAAGCACAAAAAGCCTTTTGTCTTCATTCTGGAACCCAAGAATCCAGAAGATCCTTGTGTTGAGTTTGCAACCGATAAAGTAGAAGAACTCTTTGAATGGTACCAAAGTATCCGTGAAATCACTTGGAAAACTGCAGAAGAGGTATTGAGAAGAAATTATTCCTTGTTGTTTTTTATGATGTACTGCTATAAATTCACAATAGTTTTTATCTTTAGCTGCTCTATGATGCTAAATGTTGCTAACATGTGGTCCTTCATTCTCATGCATGTTCCAGTTTTCTGTACGTTCTATCGATGCTGTGACCCTTGTTCCATAAAATCTTTGGGGAATGGTGTGTGAATGAGCATTTTATGTAAATTTATGTTAACAGGAAGTTTTCAGCAGAGTACTGTCTGTGTTGCACCCTGCACCTCAGTGAAGGTGCTTAGTAGGCCAAAGTAGATACCATTACAATGTTACATCTGTTTACACTGGTTCATCCTGGTGTTAAGCAGCAGAAACTCAGATATCAGAATGTTCTGTTCAGAGTTGTGAATTCACTGGTGAGTATGTGTGAAATCTGACCTGCCATTCCCTAAACTCTTCTTAATCCTCTTTACTAACTCTGCTTCCTGGTGAGTGCACTGATAGGGAATTGTTTGGCTAATTATTTATTTGTAACTAATAGGCACGTTCTGGATTTCCCAGAATAGTAATATTTCCAAATATTTGCCTACAAATTCAAGGATTCTGCCAAAGTTTAGCTTCTATGTTCCTCTACTAACACTTAAAGGCACTTTTCAGGACGTGCTTTTCCTGTTCTGATGCTCTAATTTACCTCCCTGTCGTGTTTTCTAGTATTTAAGAACTCTTTTACATGACCAAAAAGTCCTTAAAATAGCTATGCTTTACTACACTCTTTCCTTTGTTGCTTTTATTCACTTTTATTGTTAAGTGGGTGATATGACTGATGGAAAATGTGTTTCAGTATCATGTTGGCTCATGCTGTTTATCTGTCATATGGAGTGGTAATGCTCTGGGGGTCGTCCTAATCCTATTTATAGCAGGCAAATTGATATCTCAAGCAGAGGGCTACAAATTCAGCAAGGGGAGAAGCAACAGGCTGTTGACCTATTGTTGGGGGAGGAGAGATAAGGTTCTTGTGCCAGGCTTTCATTTAGAAATAAAAACGAGAAAAAGAGAAACACGACCCAGAAGAAGTGTCTCTAAATTGAATGTTTTTTATGGTACAACAATGGCTCTTCAGGAGCTTGGCAGCTTTTTCTCTCTCTGTACAGTTGGAGAAGTATTAAACACTCTGTGTTCAAAGATGCTTCAAAATTCGATCTTGTCAACTGGGAGGCTTCCCTCACAGCATGGCCTCTGGAAAGTTCACATGATAGACTGCTGCATGGGGAGGGGATAAAGATGAGGAAAGGCCCTTGTTGCCAGTACAGTTAACAGGCTGAATTTTGGGGAAGGAAAAGGCATAGTGAGTTAACACTATGCTGCAATGTGATACAGGTTTGTTTTTTTTTCTAAATTAGTTTGGTTTTAAGCAGTATCTGTTATACATATGAAATAAAACTAAGCTTCATGTATCTTGTCATCTCTGCTCAATACTGACCCTTGCCATGCTTCCAGGAGTGGTTGTTCATTGCCAGCACTCCTGTTTGGTTGTCACTAGAGGGTTATGTCTAGAGATGAGTAGAAGTGATCTTTTGCTGTTTGGAGCTCTGATTACTGTTAAGCAACGTCTGAGAAACTGTGGTGGATCACTGAGTACAATGAGCTTTCTACAGCTTTTCCCCAAGGTTATTTCCAAGTCTAAATACTGTGTTCCTCTTTGCTTTTCTTAGACTTCAATGCATAATCTCTGTTTCAGTGAAACACTCTGGAAACTCATGCCTGTCTAGTTCTGATTTCCATTCCTCTTATGTTTGTCCTGTTGAGGGAATTCTTTCAGAAGGCTTACTAATAGCTGCTGCTTCATCATCTCTTGTGCCAAATCACTGTTCAGTATGGGACTCTTCTAACATGTTCTATCCTGTAGTAGCTTCTTATGTCTGAAAAACCTCCAGCCCAAATGTCTCCACTCGGGACATGTCTTGCTGCTTCCAGCAGTTCCCAGTCTTTGCTGGCAGGGAAAATTGCTCAGCTTCCATAGAGCAGGTGCTTGCAAATGTGGAAGTAGATAGTGGGTTTAGTACTGGTAATGTCAACAAGATTGCACATGATTTTCCACACAGAACATTATTGGTTTGGTGCACAAATAGAAAACTAGAGGAATGGTGCTCACAGGGTTTGAATTTAGCTGTTTGGGAGTTACTAGCAAGACTTAAGTTCTGCTCAGAATTTTAAATAAATACAGAGACACTTCACTACCCTTTGCATTTTTTTTCTGCATATATTTGCATTTATATGAGCTATAGAGTTAAGAACATAACTAAAAATAAGTTGAGTAGAACCACATTAAAAGAAAAAAAAATGTTGCCGGGATTCTGAGTAGGACTGATCAGGGAAGCAATGAAACCCTTGCTTAAAAACAACCCCAAACAACACCTTTCTCTTCCATAAAAAACCCCCAAAGCACATCCCCAACTAAAACCCAAACCCACTTGTTTATAGCCTGTTCTTGAGTTGGGTCTGAAAGTGCTTTACATCTATGCAAGTGTCTAAAGTATCAGATAGGAATCTGGGCACCAAAGAATGCTCATTAGAGTACACCCTGCAGTTACTGTACCATAATACTCAGCATATCTGTAATCTAAAACTTTGTTATGTTTTCCAGGAGAACAGAAGGAAATACTGGGAAAAGAATCAATTAATTGCTATTGAATTATCTGATCTGGTAATCTACTGCAAACCAACGAGCAAAACCAAGGACAATTTAGGTATTGTCTTTAATATTACAACTGAATTTTACTCTTCTATCTTTACAGATGTTAGTTGAGATTTTAGAACTGAAGGTAAAATCTGGCTGAACACTTGTGGTTTGTTTGTAAAAAACCTTCAAAGTGGGTTTACTGTGCATTATATGACTTTATGGCAAGAGCCTGTTTACCAGGTCTAGGCTGTTGAGATGTATGTGGCTTCATAATGTAACTGAGGTCTGTGTAGGTGCAGGTGTGGAATCTGATACTGAAAGATGTACTTTTGATTCCATTGTTTTGTCATTGCTGCTGGAGAAGCCAGCAAATGTGCTCTTTTCTTTAAGTTTCTTTGCAAATGTTTTTAATAAGCTGTCACTGCAGTTAAGACATTATAATTATAGTCATTGTTTGAGGCATTGGCTAACCCTGGCTTGCCCTTTCTTCTCCCCATTTAAACCCAGGAAGAGATGTCTCATTTAAATATGTGTTATAGTGGTCAGAAGTACATTATTAGCTATGATGAGATGAGGACATGACTATGGGCTCTTATCTGCCCTCCTGCAAAGCATGTGGCAGGCAGGCAATTTTAACTTTCAGACTTGATTCTCAACCAATTTGCCATGTCTGCCTGAAAATGGTGCCAATTATTGCATTAAAGGACAAAGCAAAACAAAGTAAAACAGTGTGTTGGTAAAAATACAGTATAAATGTCAACTTATTTCTTCCTTTGGTAACTACTTTTCTTCCTCACCCCTGTGTAGACAATCCTGATTTCAAAGAAATCCGTTCTTTTGTGGAAACCAAGGCAGAGAGCATTGTGAAGCAAAAACCAGTTGAGTTGTTGAAATACAACCTGAAGGGACTGACACGTGTCTATCCTAAAGGACAGAGGGTCGACTCATCCAACTACGACCCATTTCGCCTCTGGCTTTGTGGCTCCCAGATGGTGGCTCTTAACTTCCAAACTCCAGGTAATATTCCCTTTGAAGAAGGATCTAATCCACCTTCCATTTCCCCATGAACAAACCCCTTTCTGGCCCTTCTGTCATTCTAGTCACTGTCCTATTTATTTGTACTTCCCTTTGGGAAGGGATGTGGAAGAATTGAAGTTTGCTTTTGAACATGTGGATCGCCTTATAGAGCTGGGCCCCAAAAATGGGTCTCCAAAAGCCCTGTCTCTGAGCCAAACTAGCCCTAAACTCTAAAAGATTTATTTCACCTCGATCTCTCTGTGATAAGCAAGCAGAGATATTTACAGTAAGTTTCAGGTGTATGAATAGGTGTTCAGACACAGGGAAGGCTGTCCTCTGCTTTCTGGTGAGGGCCAACTATCTTATGACACGTTGGTAGGAAGCCAATTGTGGATGGAGATGGGGTTTTGGGGATTAAAATTGATGAAAAATAGCCTGTCAGTTTGAGTTACTGAAGAACCCGAGTCTTTGAACTTACCTTTCCAGCTCTTTCTGATAAAGTGGTGACCAGGAAGCACTGCAGAGAGGAGCCACTGGTCTGGTATTTCCTTGGCTTTATTCCAATTGGGATCTTCTGTTATGACTGTTTAATCTCTCCCTAGATAAATACATGCAATTGAACCATGCCTTGTTTTCACTTAATGGACGCACTGGCTACGTCCTGCAGCCAGAGAGCATGAGGAATGAGGACTATGACCCAATGCCAAACGACTCGAAGAGGAAATTGCAGATGATTATGACAGTGAGGGTAAATCTCTTTTGTAAATTATGGGTTTTTACCAGTCATAAATATCTATAAAACTAAAAATAAAGCTATTATATTTCAGAGCAAGATCTGACAGATTGTCAAAATACTGCTTTTAAGTGTCAGTGTGTTTGAGAACGAAACTAGCTTCACTGGTTTCCTAAAAAGAAATATATATCTTTATCATGCTAATGAAGCACATGTTTTAGGACTGAAAACACAATCCTGGGGTGATTTTTTTATAATTGTTAATAAAAACTTGAAATGAAATAACTTGCATTTCCAACCTAATAACTTCTCAATAGAAGGGTCCTATTGGAGATTGTTTTGCAGCAGACTAACTAGTTAGGAGATTTTGAGTGTGGAAGAAAAATATTTATAATGAAATAGGGAAACTAAACAGAAAAAAATAAGCTGATCTCCCTTTCATCATGTTTAATACACTATGACTTAATCTGAATTTCATTCTCATTTTTCTTCGAGAGATGGGTTTGTAATTTGAAAATTTTACCATGTTGACTTAGTGCCAAACAGGGATTGAACTTGTGTCTGTTCTCAGTTGCTGTGCAGTAAGACATGTCCTTTAAAAGTATGTTTTCTGAGAAAGAAGAAACACATTAACTGCTTTTCATTGCAGTTTAAAGACAAGTTAAACAGGGGCTGTGAATGCAAAGGAGAAGTGTCTAGAAATAGGTATGTAATAAAGACCAAAGAAAGATAACAAAACTTATGCTACAGGCCTGGTCTGGAACTGCATATTGTGTGTAATGAATGTCAGCTGCAGTATCTTACAATGAAAATCACTGGGTTACCCAAACAATAGTTATTTGTTGCACAGATAGTATGTTTAATACATGCAAACATATTCAAGAAAGAGAGCGTGTGCTTTTCCATGTTCTTCTGGATTTTTTCCCCCCCTCTAGTTCTGCAGGATGTCTTCTGTTCAGAAATAATGGTGCCAAGTTTCCTTTGGAGGTGGTTATAATTTCGAGTTGCTTTTGCAGGTTTTGGGTGCTCGTCATCTCCCTAAACTCGGTAGAAGCATCGCTTGTCCCTTTGTAGAGGTTGAAATCTGTGGGGCTGAATATGATAACAGCAAATTCAAGACAACAGTTGTGAGTGAGTATCTGTGGCTTTCTGTGTTGTAAGGATGTGGTTATACTTCCAGTGTACTTAAATAAAGTGAGTAGGCAGGGGATGACCATGTATTTATGTTGTCTGTAATTGGCCAGCAACTTATACTATAGGGAGGAGTAGGTTAACTGTTGCTCTGCACTGATAAGTCATACAGTCTTATTCTCTTGCTTGCCTCAGGGCCAGTTAATTTGAGAAACTTCCATGTATATCAAGTCTTGAAAAAATAGTACTGTTGCAGTTTGGAAAAAAAAGAAGTCCCATTCTGTTATGTTTTTACCTGTGCATAAGTTTGTGTATTTGCATATTTTAAAAAATTGCTGTCTTGAAAGTGCCTCCAACAGTGCTAGTCAGTTCCCAAAAGTCTGGCCCAAATAGAGAGTTACTACTGTGAGATCCAGACTATGTTTATTTAAACTCAGCTTCTAAGACTGGCACCCCCTGGGAGACAGCTTGGGTGTGTAGGGCTGTAAAATAGTATAACTTGCAATGCAAGAGAAGTTTGATCAAAGCTCACTCCTGGAGAGTTCTGGACAAGGGATGTGTGTTTGTAAATGAGCTTCATTTAAGTGCCATGGGGCAATATCTCAGCCACTTCATATTTTACCATTTAATATTTCTGGATACAGCAGTTTTCCTCTGGTAAATAACAGGCTTTGGTTCTGAGTATCCAAACCAGTAATACCAGTGGAAAAGAAACACAAAAGCAGGAGCAAGAATGTGCATTGTGGCTCTTTGGTACTTCAGAGAAGAGGATTATGGTGTAAACTTTTTGTGGGAAGTGACCAAGACTTTAGAGAGCAAACTTCCTGGCTGTGTCACATATACCAAATGTTGGTGTTCTGTACATGGCTCCATGTACCCTGGGTCAGGGTACATGTAGTGCTTTTCCTGCTTTTTATTTGCTCACATATGGAATGTAAGGCTTATGAGTATGAGCTATTAATTAACCTTTTTTTTTTTTAAACAAATACATGTCCAAGGGGCTTTTATATGGTTAAATACAAATAATAACTTTCCTTAATGGATTTTCATCCCTGCCTTGTTTCGTCCTATGTCTCCCACCAAGTAAACAAATACAAACCTTTTGAAGCAAGGTTACAACATGAGACAGATGGTAAATAGGATTTTTGGGCCTTTGTATCTTAGGAAATGTCCTGGGATACATACCCATATGTGAATGAGGTGAATTTACTGCTCTATACTGCAATGTTTCCCCTTTCCCTACAGATGACAATGGCCTGAATCCAGTTTGGGCACCCTGTGCAGAGCAAGTGAAATTTGAGATTTACGATCCAAACCTGGCGTTTCTGCGCTTTGTTGTTTACGAGGAGGACATGTTCAGTGATCCCAATTTCTTAGCACACGCCACTTTTCCCATCAAAGGAATCAAATCAGGTAGGATCAGTGGTTACAATGAGGGGCTGTGTCAGAAAGGTGCTGTTCAGCATTGTTGTACTGTGACTTCCTCTGCGGTGCTGGACTCTCTCCTTCCTCCATGAACCTGACTTACTCTTGCTTTAGTTTTCAAGAGCATGTGAAGTCAGGAGTTTCTCAATTTTGCCATTCTTGCCTTTTGCTCCTCTCTAACTGCCATAGCAAAGCCTGCTCTCAGCAGTGGAGTGTTTGAGCACTGAAAGAATCCCCTCAGGACTGTGTGCACCTTTTTTGTGGCTGCACATGACCCTTTGCCTTGGCTGTAATTGTCCTTTGTGTATGTTCCCCCCACCCCAGGTTTCAGGGCAGTCCCTCTCAAGAACGGCTACAGTGAAGATATCGAGCTGGCCTCGCTTCTGGTTCACTGTGAAATGCAGCAAGTTCTGGTGAGAACCACTGTTTGTTTGGTTTTTTTTTTGTGCACTTAGCATGTATGTTATCAGTACTTTGTGGAAACCAGGAACTGAGGATTTAGTTTTCTGTTCTGTGTCTGATGTGTTACTGTCAGGCATTTCTTCTGCAGGTACCGGGGAAGACAAATAGCACAAATTGAGTTACTCTCCCTCTGGGTGGACAGATTACATGGTTGTTAAAAGAAATAATGCATAAACAAAGCATCATTACCTCCACTAGTTTTTGCTGTAACAGCATGGTCGTTGTCATTCCCTGTTAACTGAGTGATGCCATGCAAAGCTAGCTAAAATCAGCTTTGACTTCATAGAATAACCTTTTTTTTAAAGGTCCTACATAAAAAGAAATCACTTTAGCAAGAGAAGATACTAATTTCTTCCACTATTTCATGAAAATAAACAACCCATCAAGTGGAAGACATATCTGGTCCCTACAGAAGTGCTAATCTGCTTCTTTTAAGCCTCTGTAAAACACTTACTTGATGTACTTGTATTTTAAAACACATAGGGGAAGAATAATGATGCATCCTTGCTCATGAAGCCAGGCATTAAAGTGGCTGATCTGTGAGTGGTGTGTGTTGGTGTTCCAAAGGTGCTGTTGTATAACTTGATCTGAAGCAGGATTATTCTCAGACTCTTTCTCAATAATATTTTATGTAATTTAAATACACTTGCATAGAGGCCATGTGATGAAAGTTTAAAGATTCTTCTGGGAAGTGGCTATTTCAGGGTGCTTTCCAGCACCCTTCAGATTCAGAGAAAAAAAAAATACAACTTCTTATTTGTAACCTTTTGCAACCATCCAGGCCTACACTGCACTTTACACCAGTGTACATTGTTTTTCTGACTAAAACCCCAAATTCTGGGAACTGTAAGTCATAATGTCTCTGAAGGGATTTGTACCTGCAGTTGCAAACGCTGAACTGGAAGTGGCTGAGTTCAGTCACATTGTTCTGCCCAAAGGAGTGTCAACCTTTTTCAAACATCCTTTGTGGAGGTTTTTACAAAGCCACCTTGTAACACATGATGTAAAGTGACTGTGCAATGAGTGTTTGACAGCCATGGTAGGTTCTTTCTGTGGGTCCTGAGGGCAGGAGAGGGCTGGAAGCTGAGACAAGAGGGCTGTGTGTGTGTAAACAAGAGAACTGTGTCCTTTAAAGATAATATTTAAATTGTTCATATTTCATGAACACGAATCTGACAGAGGCCTGGTAAACTGCTGGGTTTTGGCTTGCTGCCTTTGAGAAAACTGACAGCAACTCACCATTGCCTAATGCTGAGCATGGACATCACTTGTGGATACACTGGGAATCCCTCCTGCTGTGGTTTGTCTTCAGGAATTCAGATCACTATTTGCCTGGGGCAGGAGCAGCTCTAACAGTGATGTTCAGAGCAGCAGAGTGTCTCCCAATCTGTCAGACTGAGCCCTTTGACCATAGCATGTTTCACACAAAGAAACACACAAACAGAAGCCCCTTTTGCTTGTTAAGCCAAATGAAGATGCAGCTCAGCTTTGTATTTTACAATGTCTGATGTCTCTGGGTGGTATTGCAGTGGAAGGAGAACTTTCACAAATTTTCCCTTTTGTTTGGCAGTCTGCAACAAACCCGGACTTGCTGTAGTTATCAGCTCTAGAACTTCTGGCAGATCATTCAGGAAGCACCAGAAAAGATCAAGGCTGTCTCTGTTCTTCTACCTCTTTTTAAAAAATGATGACCATCCATAAAGTGATACCATTTAATAACAGGCCTGTTTATATACAGAGCCCATCTGCATACACTTGGAGATGAAATACAGAATTATAAAGAGGAATTACAGATGGCTGTGGAATTTCTCAGGAACAGAGAAGCAAAAATATTGTAGACGTAAGCATGCACATTTGAGAGCTTTAATGAGGGGCCTTATGCAGTTCCTGTAGAAGTTAAACAGTTTTCTTGATATTGTAGAAATACTGAGGTGGTTGTTGCATTTAAAAGCATGTCTTATTTGCTTGAAAATCGATTTACTTCTGTCAGAAAGTGTGTGTATCTCTTCAGTATTTTCTGATTACAATCTGCCTCAATGGTCCATATGTTTTTGACATAAAGATTGAAGTGGACATTCTTAAATGCAGTTTTAAGGTCTACCTTTGTGGATACATTTATTTACAAGAACTAATAGTAGTACATATGCATCTTGATGATTACACCTGCAAATTGGTAATTAGCAATCTGCATTTCCTTTGTGATTTGGGAATACAGAGTTTCCTACTGCTTTACAAACAAAAATTAAATAAATTACTTTTTAAATCTTAATCAGTAGCATAGCACTGAGGCTGTTTCAGTTGCTTCAACCCATGCCTGTGTAGGAGTGTGTTTCAGGAAGAAAAAGAGGGTTTAGGAAAGGATCTTGTTCCTTCCTGTAAGTGAAACTCCCTGGGTGTGTTGGTAACCTATCAGTTTTCCTAGATCTGGACTGAATGCAGAAAGAGTCAGTCTTATTAGTATGCAGCCTTTGAAAATGTTTGGATTTATTACATTTATTGATTGCATGTCATTTCTTGTAGAATGAGTATCTTGTTTTGCTGCTGATGTGAAGATTAAGACTTCAGTCCTGCCAGTTCTATTCCCCACTAGTAACTCTATAAAGAGACAGCTTTGCCATCCAAAGTTTTGAAGTATTAAAATAATTTGGAGTCCTAAAGGGAATAATTATGATTGTTTTATGCTTGTGGAATATATTGAGACCTACTGTGGGCCACATGCAACAACAGAAAATCAGACATAGTCAGTTGTTCTGCAAGTACTGAATTGCCATAGCTACAGAGAAATACAGGAGCTGTCCTTCTCTCTTGACCATCTGGGTACTTGCTGCTATTAGGGGTCCTATTTACTAGTCAGTATTTTGACCTTTAGTCTAGATTTCAGTAGACAATCCCCAGGATTGACAGTTTGTTGCATAATACACAAATATGATGGAAGAGCCAAAAAATAAACTTTAAAAAAAGTATAGTTAATGCTGTTATAATCTGATAACTCACCATGATACACTATTTTCTGTTCTTTCCTCAAGAGACTGACATACATTATTAGAGAAAAACATTCCAACAGAAGTGTTTAGATGCACCCAAGTCATGACCTGTGCTAGAATGTCCCTGACACCCTTGTGAGAGGGGCTGCTGGCTTTTTTCAGTGCTTTCTAAGTTAGTTTATTTCCATAAACATTCCAGAAACATGTTATCAAACCAATTTTATAAAACATTCTACACAGTTATTAAATTGTGTTTAAGAAACAAAATAATCCCCCAAACTATAAATATTTGGTGCCATTTTGGGTGTGTGTCTTACAAGTCACCTTGATTTCCAATATTCTTTTGAAGGAGAGTGAAGAAGAGCTTTATTCCTCCTGTCGGCAGCTTCGGAAGCGCCAGGAGGAGCTTAACAACCAGCTGTTCCTTTATGATACCCACATGAATTTAAGGAATCCTAACAGAGATGCAATATTGAAGGAATTCAGTGTGAATGAGCACAAACTACAGATATATCAAGAGACGTGTAACCGCAGGTGGGTTGATAATCGTTCTCCTTTCCAAGGCAGCTCTATCTACACATGAGCTGTGGTAAGGAAACCTCAGATGTATCAAAATGAGCATCTAAAGAGTGGTGAGGGCAGAATGAGCTCATCTGAAGCGAGGAAGGGCTGCAGAGAAGCCAGGCTGGGCTGGGAGCCACTAGAGGCCAGCAGAAGCTGTGCAATGTCTGCTCAGTGGCATCTCAGCTTCAGTGATCACAGCGAGACGTGTAATCCTGTGAGGTTTTATATTCCTCTCTTCTGCTTTCCAGGAGGAAAGTCTGGAAGTATATACAGACAAATAAACCTACCCCTTCACTCTTTCTACACTGTCAAAATTATGTCCCTGGAAATGTCCTGAGCATATTAGATGTGTAGGAACAGAGGATGCTTCCAGATACACAAACCACAAAAGATAAAACCAGTATTGAGTTGTAACAGCATTGCACTGTCAGTTCAGTACATTATCCAGAGCTTAGTGGAGGGTTCTTTCTCCTTTGCTGCCATCTTTGGGATGAGTGTGAAGGAGACAGAAAGAGGCTTCATGTACCAGGAGAAAGTCTTGAGTAGATCTCATGACTTGAAGTATTCTTGTCCTTTTTTATGTGTACTGAACAGCTGCATGAATCACTGGTTTACTCCCATTTATTGAGGAAAAAAATTGCAATGCTTCTTGCTGATACATCACTCATTTTGGTATCTAGATTGAATTTGGTAGACTGTTTTCCTCTGAGAAATTCCTACTAGACTGAACATTTTCCTTTTCTTTTCCCTTAAGATTAAAGGAGAAGAAAGTCAGTAACAGCAAATTCTACTCTTAAAGGCCATCATTCTTTAAGGCTGCTTTATGGTGCGATTCAGGAAGAGATTAATTTGTCCTGGTCATCCTACTCAATGCTGGTCTCATCAGATGGAATGACTGGAAGAAGAGGAGGAAGAGGAACGATGGGTTTCCTTGAGAATTTCTTATTATAAGAAAAACTGGTTTAATTCCTAATAATTTATATTCTGTACAAAGCATATCCTCTGTGCAAGCCAGAGCTTCTGTGTATTCAAGATTTTTAAAACTTGAGGACATGTAGTTGGATAGACCTCACTTCTTATTATCAATACCTGAAGTACAACTCATCTCCTATATTTGTGTATGCAGGCTGTAGATAAGACATTCACAACCACTTTCATGCATGGAATCACACCACTTTAACAACCTGGCTCCTCAAGATTAACTAGCAGTGAGTTTTTAATTTATTAAATGCTGTAAAAGCACTTCTACACCAGCATTGTCACCTCATGTATGTTACAGTCCCTGGGGATTGTGCTTCTGATACTGTATAAAATATTTTGGGCAGCTGATAGCTTGTACCTTATTGTCTCTTATTAAAAGTTTTCTGTTGCATTTTTGAGAACAAGATAATATGTTAATTTTGTTGAAAGCAAATAGCCTTTTGTCACTGTAGTTGTGTTCTTCCTGTTGAACTCTGTAAAGGTTTAAGAAAGGAGCAATGTGTGAACCTCTGTTCACAGCCCCTATGAACTTATGTCACAGCCTCAAGGCACTGGAAGGAAAAGTTTTAAGATATGCAGTAGGAGATATCTGTTTGTTTGCAGCAAGGGAAGGTATTTGAAATTCTGAGTAGCATTTAATTTGTATAGTATCATTTTTGCAGATCCTTTCAGCTGCTAATGTGCTTAGAAATGAATTTTTAAATGAACTGTCAATTTTTAATCTTGCAATTCTACTTAGACGATAGTCAAATGATAGTGTTCTGTAAATGCAGACCATTTTCCCAAAATGTAACTAATCCAAGAATGATAGTGTGCACAAATGTAGAGGTACATCATTCTTGTGCCTTTAATCAAATCAAGAGCATGGAGCTACAGATGAGAAAACCTGTTAGATTAGCAAGTGCGTTTTCCTGCCAGAGCAGAACTAAAGTCCTTTGATGGAATATTTAACAGCAGTTGTCATAATTTGTGTATGTGTTGGTCCTTTGTGCTAGCACTGTTTTACTGCTATCAAATTTCTAGTTGCCTTATCTCTGCATGGGTGGAGTTTTGCTGTCTATGTTCCCGACTTCAGCTTTCAAATGTGTGCAGAGGAGTTTAGTTGTCAGCCTGAATGGCTGCCTGAGGCATCAGATGCTGCATACATAGTGCTGTATTTCTGATCACAGAGGACTTGCTTGGATTTGGGATTCATGGCCTGATGCAGCTGCCTCAGCAATTTTCAGTTTCTCTTGCTCCCCACGCTGTGACTTCTGTTGTTTGAAGAGGCTCTTAATTGATGCCATTGTGCATTCACAGATGATGGTTTGAGGAACCCCCTTGAGGTTTTAGCTGTTCTGTAAAGACAGTCTTGTCTCAAAGTTGAAAGTATTATAATAGTGTATCCCACAATGGGGTGGCTTTTGTAAATTTTTTATTATAAAGAAATTAATTACTAATCACTCAGCTGAAAAACAGAGCAAAGTTAAAGGCGACTCTCTGCTTTTCATCCTCCTGCCTGAAATCTCTTCAGTACCCACCTGTGATTGACCTGTTCAAGGACTAGATGGGTGCAAACCTCCCTCAGACAAAGCAAAAAATCACATCAACAGTAGATTTGGGAGGTGGAGCTGTAGCCTAGGCTGCTGTATAAAGCTGGTCTTACCTGCAGTATCCAGGTCTAGTGAGGTGATCCAGTGCTGTCCCTCGAGGTGGGGGGTCACCTTTGGTGTGCACATATTCTGCAGCATGTTCCAGGATGTGCTTAGTTTGTCATATGATCAGTTCCTGTGCTATATATTTCAGTCAACAGCCTCTATGATTGCTATGTAGTCCTGTGAGAACTCTGTGTTGTCAGTGTTGATCAGACAAGGTGGCCCAAAGCCTTGTCTGGAAGGCCCTGAGGTTGTCGCTGCTGTAGGATGAGATTCATGGGCAGCCGGCTACCAGCAAGGTTTGGACTGATCACAAAAACTAGACTACAAGATGCCAGAGCTTAGGAAACTCAGACCTAGAGATGGAGGCTGTTGCTGTGGTGAGGTTTTTGTTCTGTTTGTGGGCACTTCTTCTAAAGCTCAATTCCAGAGCAGACACAAGCAAACTGTCCCTTCGTCCTGGCTTCCTTCGTTGGTATTCCTGACACAGGACAACCATTGTGTGATAGACACAGGAGTTCCTTGTGCTGTTGTTGTGCAAATATTTAAGAATTAGCACATTTTGTAGTCCTTTAAAAAGTCCTGTGCACATTCTCCATGCATATGTGATGTCAGAAGTTATGAGGCACTCCTTCAGTATTTATGAAAATGCATTTTGTTTTACAGTAAGACTTTTCCCCAGAGTATGATGTTACACTGTATGCAGAATGAAAATACTGTTTTGACTGTTTTGTTGATTTGCTAATGATGGGCAAGGCTGTATTCTAACTCTTCCTTGGTTTCTTGCATTCTGTTTTAATCCAAGATCTCACCTCTCAGTTCTTTGTCAGGGCAGACTCTGTAGCAACTTTTTCACAATTGCAACTGTTTGAATACCAAAGTAAGTCTGAATGTGTGTGCTAATTTTTTAATCCAGGAGGAAAAACATTTATAAATTTTTGAAGTTAACAATTGTTAAATTGTTATATTCTTATCGGAACTGTTTTAAATCACTGAAATAACTTATTAAAATAAATAATTTTTGATATCTCAGCTGTGATGTGAATGATGCCAGATGCTGCTTTGTTTAAGTATTGCTCGTTGAATTTCATGAATTTGCCATCATTTGAAACAGTGAGTGAGTTCTTACTGAAATGTGGTCTGCTGGTGTGTTATGGCATGTTCTGCTGGAGGTTGGAAGAAGGGCAGTTCTGTGTTTTTAAGATGAACTGACTTAATGATTGTTTCTGTAGACATGGTTATTGTTGCACTTCCATCTGCCTGCAAACACAGAGGGCAGAAGGAAAAGGTCAAGGATCATGTTTAACTTGTGACTCCTACCCGACCTTTTTCAGTGAGAGCTAGATATAAACTTCAGCCCCAGTGAGAATCAGATTTGGATGAACTTGAACAAAAAACTCTGAAAGAGGCAGAGATTGAGTTGCTGGTAATTTGGAAGAACAGTAATCTTGATGTTTACCAAATCTTGATGTTTATTCTTTCTGCCCATTAGTTTGCGTGGGCAGAGGTGCTGCTGGGGGAATGCACACTCTCCTTATGTTGTGATTTTTTATAATTGTTGGGAGTCTTGGGAAAAAAATTTTCTCGGTCTTTTGATAAAAATTATATGCTTATTGAACATGAGTCAATATGAGATGTCTGCAGCCTACTTCTTCTAGGTCATTAGATAGGCTAAAGAGTCTTTGTCACCTTTCCATTTGTGAGTATTGCTATGCATGAGCTCTGCAGTCCAAAATATTGCTTTATTTAGGTGTTTTGTTGCCTGTATTCATGTTTTTCCCACCCCAATGCATCTTTATGTTTCTCTGTTGAAAGCACTTTGTTAGTTCTGCAGTTCTCTCGATGGTGAGATGGTGTGAGCTGTGTACCAGGTGTTATCTTTGAATTCTTCAAACCAGTTGTAGAAATCTGAATGTGGAGTGAAAGCTGAAGTGCAGTGTTTGAATTCTGCTATAGTCATGTGTCAGTGTTTCCAAGTGCAGTCCAACTAGTTGGCTTGGTTCCAGACTGAAATTCCATTTATATCATTAGAAATAGAAGTTACAGATAATGAAAATTAACCTTCAGAATCAGTTCAGAGACAAATTTATCCTCTGACCCATAACAGTATTTGTAAACATGCACAGCTATTAGTTTTAAAAGAATTTAAATTAAAATAAAAGCAGTTTAATTAATTGCTAGTCTACATTTTTAGCTTTACTCCAGTAAAACTGGGAACCATGAGCTTGACTAAAATAAAGCAGAAGTAGTTTCCTTAACACTTATATACTCCTGAATTGCAGTTTATCCCCAGATCTTTTACAATATGTATAAATTATCAGTGTTCAGGACACTTTTCTCTGAAGATCACATCATGAATTATTAAATATGCCACTATATTTTGGAAAGTATATGGAAATAAGTAATAAATAGAAATGAAGGAACATTAGGTTTCTTAGGAGAAGGCACTATAAAATCTGATCTACTTTAAAGTTGATTAAAAATCCAAAATAAATATATTTAAATACACATTAGAAGTATAAGTTGTTCATGTGTATATGGCAAATTTGTACCTTGATGTGCTGTGTCTGTGACATTAAGCAGCTGACTGAGGATTCTATTCACTTGAAACAGCAGCATCATTCTTTATAGTGAGGCACGTATCAATTGTTCAGTAATTTTGAGGACTAGGAAAAAATGAATCTGTGCTATAATTTCATTCTGCTTTTTCAGTTTTTAGATGTGTTTCTGGTAATTCAGTTTCAGGAAAACAGGCGAAAAATTAAAATTTGAAAATAGACACGACACTTGAATTAATTACCTTGATTTACTCTGCTGTTCATGCAAGAGGAGTAATAACAAAAAAAAAAAAACAACCTGGAAGAAGGAGAGAGAATTCTCATTGTAAAATACTTAGAATGGAGCAGCTGTGACTGGCTTTACATGGATGTAATTTCCAAGCAATTTTAGAGTCTCTCCTTAAGCTGCAGATTGCCTGTTTTCCTTTTGGAAAGAGGAGAAGTGTCCTTCACTTCCTCTGTAGTCAGGATGGTGGTTTTTTTTACTAGATGAAGGTGACTGACAGGGATTTCCCAGTGCACTGTTGATGGCTCTGCTCACCCCTGCCAAGCACTGCCAGTGTCTCCCCACAAGTACCTGATTTACTCCCATGTGCTCCAGCACAGTCGTGGGCCATTAGGACAAAAAAGTGCCCCCTGCTCTGTTAGTGGTGAGGACTTCTGTCCTTGACTCCAGATGGATGAAAAGGTTCATGGATTGAGCTCAGCTGCTGCAGGACTTCTGATATTTGTGGTTTTGTTGGGCTTTTTTTTTGGCTGCTCAGGACCTTCTGCTGCTGTTGTACCTCAAAAGCTGCCCAGGGCTTGAGCCTCAGCTGGTATTGACAGCGTGGATTTAGGATTCATGGCCTAAGGAACCTTTCATAGATTTTTTTTTTTTCCAACCCCACCGTTGAGATAATTATAAATAGCAGTAGCTGAGTTTTGCTAAAAGATTGCAAACAGCAGAGGAAATTCCCCAGGGGCACAGGGATTAGGTTCCGTATCTTAAAAAGATTTTTTTTTTTACAAGATGTAGCATGAAATACTGTTTCTTGTGCAATTTCTTGTACATTTTGGTTTTGTCTTCTGCTGGCATCAAAATTTCTTAATCTATTTCTGATAACATTGTGTCAAACCCAGAGAACTTAAAGGGGAAAACAAAGTGGTTTCCACTTGGAAGAAAAAAAAGACTGTTGGAAAGAGAACAGCAGCCCAGTGCTTTCATGAGGTCACGGCTGTCTTCTTTCTGTTTTATTAAAAAGAAGGTTTCTTCTTTCTGCAGCTGATGGTGTATATTAATGACTTCTGGAGCGTGGCCCTTCTGCCATCAGCACTCAGTTGGAGGCACATAAGCTCTTTATAACAGAGTGCAACACTCCTGCTACACAAACAGTTTATTTGCTATTAGAGAAAAAAAAAAGTGAGTTCTCTCTTGAACTGTCCCTCAAGCTAAGTATTAAATTTAGCTTCTTTTATGGTGTACTTACTGGTAGGGGAATGAAGGAGAAAAGTTAGATTTCAGGCAAGACAATACAAAAAAGTTACCAATACCATGGGTTTATTTTCTTCTTAAGGTAAATTTCTCTGGAAGGGAACTCAAAAGTAGAAAAATAATGCTGTCTCCAGTCATTATTAACTACAAAACCCTCCATCTTCTAAGCAGGGGTGGCAGTGGACTTTTTAGTTTGGTTCCTCTATTTAAGCACTCTTGTTTTCTGAGAATCCTTTAACAGTGCAGCAGAACTACTGTCTGCCTCTTCCTCTTCACTTCCCCATTTCATTTGCAGCAGAGTGTAACAACTGAAGTAACTGGAAGTTATGGTTAATTTAAGAGCAGTGTAGTTTCAGCTATTAAAATGGAAAGACTAAAGTCTGAAGAGGAGTGTGAAATTCTTGAAGGACTCCCCTTTTATCAAGGGGTACAGAAACTGTAATGTTGATGGGTTAAGTGAAAACAACTGTATTTTAATATTTGAGGTGGTTTCTGTTTCTCTTCCTATATTAAACTGACAGAGGGAGTTGCTTGGGACAGTAGTGACCTGTACTTAACAAGGTCTTATCTTCTATTCTTAAAACTCCATAAAATTATGAGTTTCCTTGTAGCAAGTGTTTATCTTCCTACTACAAAGGTAAAGTTCTATTCAAATTGTGTCAGGTGTTAAAGAAATATTATTAAAGCTAAAAACGCTTTATAAACAGTGGAACATGAGTGTAATCACTTACCAAATGTCTTTGATGGAGTCTTTGTTTAACTATTCAGTAATGCTGGGGAGAATCATAGGTTTTATTTATGAATGCACTTTAGGTAGCTCATTCATTTTAAACAGACATATTTTACTGTTAGAAAAATCTACCAATCTATGGTGCTTCAAGCACTTTGCTGTAATTTAGATTAACCATGGTGCATTTTCCAGGAATGTCATTAGATATCAGAGAGTTAACTCAGAAAAGCATACCAGAATGTAAAGAAACCACATTTGTTTATTGTCTAGCAGTTTATCAGTTAATCTTGGTTAGGCATATATACAGCCAAGCTGGAAAGCAGAACTGGGTTTTGGAAGGTGATCAAAGAATAAGTTTATTCTCCTCTGGATCATGTAGCACAAACACTTTAGGAATAAAGGGCAGGAATCAAGAGTATAACCCCATCAGGGAGGAAGAAGAGCCAGCCTAAGGACATTTGTTCCATTCACTGTAGTGTGTTGTTGTACCTGAGAGTAAAATGCTGTTTGCAGTAATACTGAGCTTCATCTTGTTAGTGATCTGATCAGTTTTACTTTGAAGAGAAACTATATATAAAAATTACACCTCTTTACTCAATGGTTCCATTCCTTGGGGATAAAACTGTTTAAAGATATTTACCTGAGTCATGCAAATGTGTATTTTTAAAAAAAATCTTTATTACCTGTCTGTCAAAACCAAGAGTATGCAGAGAACGTAACTAAATTCTGTCCTCAGCATTTCATCTTTTAGAGTGAAAATGTAACTGCAGATGGAAACCACGAGACCATCACAGCAATCAGCAGGAAAAGCAGTCCTCCATCCCTAACAAGCTGCATAATGGTATAATTTCTTGGCTTTCGTCCACATCCCTGGGATCTAAACCATTCCACCACTTCATTCAGGCTGTACTGCTGAGGCTCATACCCCAGCTCCTTCCTGGCCTTCTCCATACTAAAATAATGAGTGACACCAGTTTTGTAAACCTCTGTGCGAGTCAGGAGGGGCTGAAAATTATAAATGTGTCCTACAAGAAAATGAACTACTTCAGTAAGGAATGCAAAAAAATAGACAAGGGAGAGAGGGAGGCGACAGGTTGGGAACTTGTAACCCAAACCTTCCACTAAGGGTCGGAAAAATTCAAAGTTATTTACAGGCCTGCCATCTGAAATAAAATAAGCTTGGCCTGCAGCAATGTGCTGCTTGTTGGCTTTGAGGGCCTCAAAGGCAAGGATATGAGCCTGAACCAGGTTGTCTACATGTACAAATTCTACCAAA